CAAGCAGAACACAGCAAACTCCGAGACCAATAAACACAGACCAAGACTCCCAACCAATCAGGATGAAGAAAAAACCATTCTGGCACAGCAATAGGCTGCCCCAAATTTAAATCTGAAACCACTGTAAAAGTCTGACCCACAGACGGACACAATACAGAAGCCTGATGATGGCAGATGAGATTCTGCTGAAACGTTGCTACAACTTTAAAAGAACTACAATGACGTGGGAAAATACCCGAACCAAGCCGAACACCATATCTATCTATCACCGGCTTGACCCACAAAAACACACTGAGACATAATAGAGACCCAGAAGATGAACAGACCTATGGAACAGCTGTCCTGCCCTACATAAGAGGTACTACAGACAAAATCAGTAAGATACTACACAGGCATCACATCAAGACTGCCTTCAAAACAGACAGAAAAATAGCAGCCATCCTTAGAAACCCCAAAGATAAAATTGACCTGGAAAACCAAGGCATATACGAAGTCCCCTGTGCATCATGCCCGGCCACATACATTGGACAGACCAATAGAAGAATAAGTACCCGCCTGGATGAACACAAAAATGCAGTCAAAAAGCTGGAACACACTTCCTCACTAGTCCAACACATGGAAGCCACAGGTCATAGCATCAACTTCAATGGCACCAAAACCCTAGCCACTATAGAAAACCCCAGCCACAGAATCATCAGAGAAGCCATAGAGATTGAAAAAAGACCAGAAAGCATGAATAGAAGAGATGATTCCACCAGACTGTCAATCATTTGGAAGCCTGCACTCACAAACAAAAAAATCTCCACACCACAAGCCAGGCAAACACCTGGGCACAAACAGATCCCTCCTGATACCTCCAGCTCAAACACACCCCAACCAGGCACCCAGATGAAACCTAGCTTCCTAACTAATGATAGCCGTCCATTTACCCGGAGCCAAGCTGCACTAAAGGCCTCCAATAAAGTAACACAATGTTGCCAGCCAATCAAGATACAAAAAGAGCCAAAAAACAGACAGAAGATATTACAAACACCAATCAAGCAGAACACAGCAAACTCCAAGACCAATAAACACAGACCAAGACTCCCAACCAATCAGCATGAAGAAAAAACCATTCTGGCACAGCAATAGGCTGCCCCAAATTTAAATCTGAAACCACTGTAAAAGTCTGACTCACAGATGAACACTATACAGAAGCCTGATGATGGCAGATGAGATTCTGCCGAAACGTTGCTACAACTTTAAAAGCACAACTACAATGACGTGGGAAAATACCCGAACAAAGCTGAATGCCACACATGTAAGTACCCGCGAAAACTTAAGAAAACATATATATATATATATCACACACATATATACATATTCTAAAATATGCTAATGATTATTTAAATATTAGGAAAACAGAGAATATGACCTGGGTGAAAATCTGGTATTAATTATGTTCAAAAAGTGTGAATTAGGGTTATATAAATGCTATAGGTTGAAATTGGTCATAGGGAAATAAAAGGGGAAATTAACTCTGTTTTTATTTTTCTTTCTTTGTGGTATACATGAAATAGAAAATATAATTGATTATACAAAGGATATGAGAAAATAGAAAATATAATGAACTAGAAGGGATTATGTGGGAATGTAAAATATTTATAATGAATGAATTATACTATAATCAAAAGCAGGGGAATGAAAATTTATTAAAATTATATAGGTAAATTTTGGAAACAAAGAAAAAATATGAAATTATATTAATATCTCTGGAATATATATAAGATATATTGTAGATGGGGGATATACCATGTGGAGCCCAAATGTATTAAGCTTACTTTACTTTTACTTGTTTTTTCTTTCATTGATTGTCTAATTACATATTGGTCTTGAGAAAGTTATAGATGATAACAATACATAAGGTAACATAAAAAAGGTGGTAAGCTGAAAATGGAAATAATAGGGGATAAAGAATTGAAAATATATGTGATGAAATGTTTTTGATATTGAATTAATGAATTGAAATATGGAAGGGAAATTTATCTAAAGATTAGTTGAATGGATAATAATTTGAAGTGGTATTAATTAAGAAAGTTGAAAATGTAACTATGACTATGTATAAATATTGTAATCTGGAATCATGTTGCTCACGTGAAGAGATTTGTAAAAAATAGAAATAAAAAAACTTTGGGAGAAAAAAAGAAGAAGTTCAATTTGGTTACAGTACTGCTAGGTAAGCATAAGAGAATCAGTTCGGTCTAGTGGTTAAGGTGCCAGGCTAGAAACCAGGAGACTCTGAGTTCTAGTCCTGCCTTAGCATGAAAGTCACCAGGATGACCTTGGGCCAGTTACTCTCTCTCAGCCCAATCCACAGGGCTGTTGTGGGGAAAACAAGAGGACAAAAGGTATTATGTATGTTTGCTGCCTTGAGTTATTTATAAAAATAATAAAGGTCAGATAGAAATAAACAAACAGAACAGCACCACACAAGCTTAAGTGATAAATATGCTTTAATAGAGAGCAACACTTTCTGGAGTTTGTTCCGAGAACTCAGCTGCTTTATTTAATTTGAAAGCAGCACAGTGGATGTATGCAAGGCACAGAAGATGTGCATCAGCTGTTTACACTTATCTAAAGGCATTTTAAAAGAAGAGCAAGGGGGGGGGATGGTAAACTAAGGAAGTATTGATAGGATACTTGACATTCAACTCAGTTCTGTGCTTCTCAAACTATTTAAAGGGCCTGAATCAGTTTAGGGAAATCGTTCAAGTCAAAAGATATACATTTTTTCCTCAAATTAATGTGTTTATTGTCTGGTAACGCAGACATTTACTAAAGTATGATGGTATGGAAAGTGATATTGTAGAAGTTTTACAAAAAATAATCACCACTGTCCTGGATGGAAAATGGTAAGCTAAAGACAGGCCTGTAAGAGAAGAAGCGTTTCCTCCGTGGGGAAAAAAGATGGAACGTAACCTACTAACCCGGCAATGCCTGCCTGTCTCAAAGTGGGAAATGAAGCAAGGTGAACGGGTGGGGGGAATCAAACATAAAGCAAAGAAATAAAGTACCGAATAATCAGCAATCCGCTCTTCATCTTCTCCCTAATCTCCAAGAATAGAGTAGCATCCATCTACGTAGCCTGCCAGAAAAAAAAAAGAGGACCAAGCCGAGAGAAAGCAACCCGCTGCGAGGTTCAAAAGCTTCCACGTGGGCCGGAGAAAACTAGGAAAATTGAATCCCGGAAACGTTTTAGCCGAGAGGAGGGCCTCTTGTCTCACACAGCGCCCTCTGCGAGAGAAAAAGAAAAAGGCTCTTTAAGCTCTATCTTTTTAATCGCGGAAAAGATGTCCTCGGCCGCAATGTGACATCATCTCAAAGGAGATCGCGACTATTTAGATTAGGAAAGAGGATCGCACATTAAACATTATTTGTATCCCCTGCCGGGATCGCGCTGTAGTTTTTAAATCCAGTTGAAATGATTGATAGATGTCTTTGTTTGCTTTCTGTCGCATTACTCCACGGTAGAATAAGCGGGGAGATGGATTTTTCTTCCCCCTCACACACACACCACAGAAGATCTTGCAGTCCGATTCTGTTCTACATTTACTCAGAAGTCAGTGTGGCTACAGTTCTAGTAGCTTTGCAATCCTGCGCCGAGTTATCCAGTGCCTTGCATCCAATTGCATTGCAATAAACGTGCCGCCGATTGTAAACCGCAGCTTCCCGTGGTATGGCTAGGCGCTTTGCAGGTTGGATCCCATTCAAACAACGCTTATTTAATGTGCCTGTTTAGTGCTACTGGTGTACACCCACGTTCAGAAAAGGGCAGCAGGGCTTTCGACGACGAGAAATTAAGGAGAAAGGAATGAACCTCAATAAACAACCGGCTTCATGATTTGCCCGTCAGCTTCCAACGAAGAAGTATGCAGTATCCGCTACTCCGCAGAGTATCATACCACATAAGCTTAAATCGGCCCGCAACGTGAGCCACAGAGAGAGAGAGAGAGAGTCGTGCAGTGGGGACAAGGGACTCCCGCCAGGCGGATCAAAGAAGTGGGCTAGCCAAGCATTTCTTCCCGCTGGCATGAAAATAATAAACCAGGCAGGAAACCAGCTGAGCTTTTAGGATACGCTGGGAAAGTCCGTGGAGAGGGGGGGGGGAATCACAGAAAATGCAAGTCGGCTTTTGCAACCGCGGTAGACGAAGACCCACCGGGAGCCTTCCCCCTCTTCTCAAACAAGACTTTCCCTTAAAGGAACTCGCCCCTATGGCAAACCTGGAGTCGGCGGCCGCTCGGTCCGCGAGAAGAAGCTGCGCTAATTCTGAGCGGCGCCAGGTGGCGTCATAACGTCAGGAGAAAGCCAGGGGAAGGGAGGGAGGAGAAAGGAAGCCGCTTGGCATGCTGGGAGCTGTCGGTGCCCGGGCGCGGGAGGGCGGGCAAGTGGTGGGGGGGAGGTTTCTGCGGCTCTTCCGGCTCTGGGCGCCAAGGTAACCCTTTTCGCTCTTCCTTTTTCTGGCCCTGCGGCCTTTTCCCTTCCTCGAGTTGGTGGGCTTTTTAGTCTGTGAGGGGAGAAAGCGCTGAGAGAGAAGGGGACAAAAAAGGGAACGGCGGGCAGCGGCATCCTTATTGGGACCCCCCAGGGGCTTCTCCTTTCCCCTCCTTCCTCGGAGCAGGTGCAGAGAGACGGGGTTGGTAGTAAACGCAGGCAGGGAGTCGCAGCCGGCGAAGACTCACGTAGTATTTTCTTGCTTTGTCGGTTGAAAAGGTGTATTTGAAACCAAGGAAACGATCCTTACATGTTCGCCGGCCAGTCTTTTGCTTAGGAAAGGTCGCCCTTCCCGCCGTTTTATTATTCTATAAAGTGGGAATTCTTGCACACTTGGGGGTTATTTTGCCTAAGTTATTTTTTCCCTAGCTTATTTTTTTTAATTTAAAACAGGAAAAGCCATCCTTTCATTTTTCACTTCAAACGTGTAAAGGAATAGCCAATCCACTCTTATGGTATATTTATTCTGTTCTTTATTCTAGTAAATAAAGACACAGTAATTGGGGGTTATTTGATTTTTATGGCTGAGAGATTATTTTATTTCTTTTAGTTTAGTAGTCAAATAGGAGCCCTAAAATCCTGCTTAGACATTGTGGGGCTTCTTTTGATTAAATGTGCATAGGATGGTACAAATATCTTTCCCATCATCGTCTCAGTTGCCAGTTCTTTATATTTAGCTTCCTGTGCCTTGATGTACTTGCCAATTATACATGCTGTAATGCAGAGTAGCATCTTTTCTTGAAAGTCTGTTTGCGCAGAGGGAAAGTTAACAAATCAATTTTTCTTCTACCCTCTTCATTCTATGTCCATAGGGATTGGTTAATGTTACAGTAGTTTTATTATATTTATTGATTGGATGCAGTGATTGGGAAGAAGTTGAAAAGGCTGTTACTATTGCTCAGAGATAATGTGGAAACCTAAAATATTACTTTAGCTTTGGGGGGAAAAGTAACTTTCAGAGCGCTATGTAATAAATAAATTTGTTCTTAGGAAATATTCTTTGAATTACAACCTTCATCTTTTCATTTTTTGCATATCTAGGTTTTTCTCAGTCAAAGAGTACTTTTGGATGAATGAATGATTGCTTGTGCCAGTTTCTCCCTCTATGAAGCTTCTAAGGAAGCTTCAGCCATAGTTTGATGATACAAGATGAAATATTGATATGGCTAATATTAATCAGAGGATGGATTTAAGTAAAAAAAAAAGAATACATGCTGAGAGAAGAGAGATTGTGTCTAGTGTATATGATGAAGAAAAGTAAACTATCTGGATGAGTGTCTACTCTTAGTTGGCCAAGAGAATGACCAGGAACATTGAACAAAGCCCAAGGTTTGAACTTTTTTTTTTTAAAAAAAGCCAGTGGTGAAAAAGTCAGACAGATAGATCCAGTTTTCAGAAAAAACTGGCTATCACCTTTGTTTGCTCTTTCCCAAAGCTTTTGCAACTCTCATCTTTTTTGAGAAGTATTTCTCACAACGTTCATAGGTGCTATCCTCTAAATTAGTCTGGATTTCACTGTTAAAATAAGCTAATAAAATTCAGAATACATAATAATCTTAGGGTTGTTACACTTAAAAAGTCAGAAGATAAGATACAAGTCCTGGTATTATGTATTTATCGTTTGTTGTTTTTAGTCATGTCCCACTCTGACTTTATAGGCAAGTTCTCTCTATGCTACCGTCTCAAGTATAGCTTTTTTCAATTGTATGTTCACCTTTGCATCAGATTTGATGTTATCAAGTCATCATGTTCTTCATTTGCCCCTTCTTCTTTGTCTACTCCTTGCATCATTGCCTTCTCGAATGAGTTTGCACGCATAACATAGCCAAAGTAAATCAGATGTAGTCTTATGATTTTAGCTTCCAATGAGATGTGATTTAACACCTTTCTGTTAGTTAATTTGGCTGTCCATGGTATTCACAGTAATTTATGCCAGCACCACAGTTCAAAGACGTCAATTCTTCGATCGGCCATTCTTAGCGTCCAACTCTCATACCCCATACCTCATTATAGAGAAGACTATAACTAGCCTGCTTTTTGTATTTAAATCAATATCACTGCTTTTCCAGATCTTATTCCTGTTAACTATTGCAATGCGGCCTAAGGTTATCCTGCATTTGATTTCAGGAGTAGAATTGTATTATTTACCGTTAAATCAGAGATTCTGGTAAGATCCAATTACAAATTGTGTATCAGATGTTTGGTGTTTGGTTTACTGTCCAAGACTCAGATATTTTCCCATTTATTTCCCAGTAATCCCCCCCCCCCCAGCTCAGTTTTCTAATGTGCTTCTAAGAGTCAATGTTTCATGTCCACTGAGAATAGAATAGAATAGAATAGAATACTTTATAGGCCAAGTGTGATTGGACACACAAGGAATTTATCTTGATGTAAATACTCTCAGTATACATAAAGAAAAGATACATTTGTTAAGAATCAAGAATCATAACATACAACACTTAATGATAGTCATAGGGTACAATCAACAATCAAATCATACTAGGAAACAGTCCATATAAATTGTAAGGATACAAGCGACAAAGTTATAGTCATACAGTCACAAATGGGAGGGGATGGCTGATACGGAGTGATGAGAAGATTAACAGTAATAGTAGTGCAGACTTTGTAATAGTTCAACAGTAGTGAGGGAATTATTTGTTTAGCAGAGTGATGGCGTCTGGGAAAAAACTGTTCTTATGTCTAGTTGTTCTGGTGTGCAGTGCTCTATAGCGTCGTTTTGGGGGAAGGAGTTGAAACAGTTTATGTCTGGGATGTGAGGGGTCTGTAAATATTTTCACAGCCCTCTTTTTGGCTCGTGCAGTATACAGGTCCTCAATTGAAGGCAGGTGGGTAGTAGTTGTTTTTTCTGCAGTCCTAATTATCCTCTGAAGTCCTGTTGTGTTGCAGAACCAAACCAGACAGTTATAGAGGTGCAGATGACAGACTCAATAATTCCTCTGTAGAACTGTTTCAGCAGCTCCTTGGGCAGTTTGAGCTTTCTGAGTTGCCGCAGAAAGAACATTATTTGTTGTGCTTTTTTGATGACGTTTTTGATGTTAGGTGTCCATTTTAGGTCATGTGATATAGTAGAACCTAGAAATTTGAAGGTATCTACTGTTGATACGGTGTTGTCTAGTATTGTAAGAGGTGGTAGTATGGGAGGATTTCTTCTAAAGTCTACCACCATTTCTATGGTTTTGAGTGTGTTCAGTTCCAGATTGTTGTATTCATATTGTTGATTCCATAGTAATGTGTTTGAATTAAAAATAATAATAAATAATAAAAAATGTGCCGAAGGGGAAATTGGCATGGAAAGGCAATCTTTCTGCACCGATTTTGTTCATCCAATTTTTGAATTGTGACCCTATTCAAAAATCGGGTGGATTTTTTTTTCGCCACCCGATTTGGTTGCGAACAGGAGTGTTCGCCACCCGAAGTTCCCTGTACCTTCTTTCAATCAGTCTAGCCAATAAAGCAATTTGTTTATGAAATGGCATCTACCAATGGAAAAGGTTTCTTTTCCCACTCATATTCACGTCTATAGCCAAGGGTTGGGGAATCCTCACGTGTAGATAATCCTGAAGTGTAGATTTGGCATAGAAGTGGAAACAAAGAAGAGAAATCCTCTCACACGTCTTCCTATCACACAAGAAAAGGCATTGAAGAATAAAGAGAGGATGCACTGGGGCTTAGAAACATCCTTGGGAATTAAAGATAAACTAGAAGATAGAGCATACCTATAAAACATATCTGTTTTTCCATTTATTAATTTATTGAAATTACTAAACAAAATAACCCGAGGTAAGGCTGTGAGCTTGATCAGCATGGTGGAACTGGCTCTGGGTAATTATCTAGAAGTATTGTAGAGATTCAGAAGATCATGGATCTTAAAATCTTTGAACAATTATTGTGCCTTACAATGTAGTTCTTTGCATGAGAGGTCTCATTATTTTTTGCACTATTCAATCTTGTACACATAAAATAGAAATACTACACCAAAAATACATTTTTGTTAGATCATTAGCATGTTACATTGTTGCTGATATAAGCAAGTAAATAAAACCTTGTCAACGAGTATTAAAGAGTGATAGTGAAGGGATAACATTCTGGATATTTATTTAATAAATATTTTAAAAACCTTTGTATTTCAAATGCAAGCAAATTATTTGGTTTTATATTTGGGTAGGTTTCTTCCATTTAATTGAAAACTCTTATGAGCATTATTTTATGATAACTATAAATGTTGGGAAATGAACATTATATTAGATTACTCACCTGATAATATTTATCTCTTATTCATGAAATGAACTAATAGAAATTAAGGAATTCTGATATTTAAATGTAAAACGTCAGATGCAATTATAGTAACGGGTAGGATGTATTATTCAATAAAGTGTAGGACCCTGGGCTTGGCGCTTAATGAACCCATTGCAAAATGGTTTGTTATCACCAAACAAAAGGCTAACATGTCCCAACCCCATATAAGGGAATGTGACTTGTTTTAAAATTTTACATTTTAGTTTTATTATAAGTTATAATACAGCAGATCTGGACAAACCAACAGGTTGAGTCAGGAAAGTTTTAAAAAAGTGAAACAAAGGAACTGGTTTCTGAGATAAAGGAATATAAACGTTTGGTTAATGTTTCACTGGTGATAAATCAAGCAAATATCATGGAAGAGATTATGTTATCAGCCATTGTTAGGACATGTTTTGCCCTGATGATTGGTAAAAGAGCCCTACCACAGAGCATTTTCTTCCCTGGTCTAGAAAAACAAGTGAAGCTTTTATGATGTGGTAGTAGAGTATTTCTATAATGCTTTTGTCTTAGCTTAGGCAGAACATGTGAGGTCCACCAAGGAAAATTTCAAGTGGAATGTCAAAATGTCAGAGTTCGGCTATATTGTCTGAATACAAAGGAAAACACATCTGAGGTGATAAACTGACACTCATTCATTCATTCATTCAAAACATTTATATAGCCATCCATCTTTCAACTCTGGGTAACTATATACATGCTTTAAATAAATAAATCTATGAATATCTGCTGCCAAAGAAGTGATAAAGGGAGTGTGTACATTTGTATTGCTATTGCACTGATGTTCTGACATCTTGTAAAGACAACAGTATGCATTTCTGATACTAGTATTTTTTTAAGGCATTACTCCATTGATATATACATTGTTGGATTTATTTTAACATAAAGTATTTTCAGTTATTACCAATAATTGTATTTCATATGTTCTGTTTCCAGTTTGGGGTTATGATGGAATATGTAACGGCTGAATTAATGAAATAGTGTTTTTTTAAAAAGCAAAAAATGTGCTGAGTCTCACGTAGCTATAGATAAAACCTTCTTTACTCTAAAAGTGCAAAATAGGGGAACTCTTGCTTTTGTTTTATGGGAAAGATTTAATTAAAGAAATATTTAATTCTATAATGTAGAAAATATTTATAATTCTATCAGCATAAAATTCTGAGCAGTGTAAAATAACTTCCTACCAATGGAGGTTCAGAGTAGCTAATGTTATGCGTAATATTTAACAGCAATTAGAGTAAATGCACATGTTTAGCTTTGCTAGTAATAGATCTCCCTCCCTCCCTCCCTCCCTCCCTCCCTCCCTCCCTTCCTTTCTTTCTCTTTCTTTCTTTCTTTCTTTCTTTCTTTCTTTCTTTCTTTCTTTCTTTCTTTCTTTCTATTCGAGTCACCGCTGTTGATCCCTGGTAGGCTACCTTGGCAAGTCCCAGAGTTTTCTTGGCAAGATTGCAGAGGTGATATGCAATTGATTCCTTCTTGGGGCTGAGAAAGAATGACTGGTCTGAAGTCACTCTGCTGCCTTTGTGCCTAAGGCTGGAATAGAACTCACAGTCTGACCAAGCCGACCCTACTGCTTTTTCATATTCACTATTAAATTATCATATTGATACATGAGATCCCTTGTTTAAATTGATGTTCATTTTTCTCTCTTTTTTGATTAAGAAATGAAGCACCATTTGTTGTAACACTTGGGGAAAGTGTAGTAACAATAATTACTACATTTAACCATGGTTAGCAAATTAGGAATCTAAAATTGTAATTTTCAATTGACTGTTACATTCTGCCTATAACTGTACTACTTTAAATCTGGATATTCAATATTAATTAGTTTAGAGGTTCTATATTACAAGATCCCATATATTAATTAAATCATTGCTAATACAAGTATATGACATGTATAGGTAATCCTAGCTACCAAGACATATGTTTCCGCATATTTCATCTCAAAATATTGGAAAATCATATTACCCATTTTCAGCAATTAAGATTAGAGGAAGCTCCAGTGACTTCTGAAAAAGAGATGGAGGGCTTCAATTTGCTTGCCTTGTCTTGTCAATTCTTTCATAGGACAGAAAGCCTTTTATGGCTTTAGAAAAGATGGACAACACAAAAACATAGGAACACAATATAAATAGAATCATGACTGTGAAACAGAGCCAGGCATTGATGATTTATATCTAAACTATTTAGAGCATTTTGACGAGGGATTGGAGTTATTGCTACAGTGAATGTAATTGCCTATTCCATCAAAAACAGGCCAATATTGGAATCTGAGTTTGATTTAGAGTGACAGAAACAGAGCAAAATGTACAAACAGAAACACCCCATTATTAAATTAAAAGGCAATATTATGCCACAATGATACAGATGTAAAAGATGCTTCAGAAAACAGAATCAGCCAGTCTACTGATGTGGATGGACCTAAATAAAATTGAAACTAAATTGAGTTACACTTGCAGCTTCATTATAAACTCCTGTCTAGATTCTTAGGCTACCTGAACACAGACGAGTGAAAATATTGTCTTTTTCAGTTTATTATTATATTATCCGGAATTTTTCAGCTATATCAGTATCACACTACTACTGTATTCTTAATAATTAAAATATTTTCATTCATTTTGTGAAGCATCACTTATTTTTATTCTTTTACCAAATGGAATACTTAGCACGCACTGAATAAAGTTTGGATTTTGTTATTTGATCATAGTGTCTAGAAAAATCTAACTTTCTTACTATACTAGCTCTATACCCATGCTTCACTACAAAATTATGTGATCTAGCTTAGTTTTTGAGGAGGAAAATAAGGGGAGGGGGGAAATGTGCCTCTGCCTACCAGCATCCATTGGTATTCATCTGGCTAGTGTCCTGTCAGTGTGTGAGAGAGCTGATGGCTGTTTGGAAACTGAAAAAGTACTTGCTGTGTGAGCAAGGAGACAGCAAGGAGCCTGGGTGTTGCTTAGCTCAACTGTTCTGTACTAAAGCTGTTGTGAAACTAAAACTGAAACTCCTCTCCTCTGCTTGTGTTTTGCATTTGGAACAGATTTCTTTTCAGGTGGGGAGGGGGAATAGAACTCTTTAGCGTCAAAGCATGTTAATAATAATATAGGAAATACTAATGCTCTGACGGTCATTTCGAAAAATCCTTTCTTAATGAGCACCTAGAAGCCAAAAGGAACATATGTGCCAAATTTCAAGTTTGTAGGCTTTATGGTTCTGGAGATTTTGTGATGACGCGTCAGTGGTATTTCGCTTTTATATATATAGATGACCAGTGATATAGAGGGTGATATAGAAAGATTGTATTCGGTATTCAAAATTATATTACCTTTGAGTGTGAAATGTCTTATGTAACAATTAATTCATTGGCAGTTATATGAGTTCGTTTAAGAATCTCTAAATCAGGAACCATTGCCATATAGAATGGTAGTTCTAGAATTATCTGTTTTTTTAATGGTTTTTAATAGTCAGTAATAATCCAAATTGTTAGTATATTATTTCAATTGGTTTTCTTTGGTTCTATAGATTAAATGCAGTAAAAAGGGCAAGATTTGCTTTATCTCTGAGAAATACTAATGATCCCAGATGCAAGAATCAGGATGAGGAAATGGTTCATTTTGAGATTACAGTTCACTTTCTTGTTTTCAATTTGAATGCAGTTGCCAGTTTCCTCAGAACATTATAGATTCCATTTGACACTATTGCAGTAGTGGCAGTGATTTTCCCCCCCTTCATATCTCTATGGCAGAGGAATCTGGAGAATATATGTGGTCGAGGAGAAAAGTCATAAAAGAGAAACATCTTAATTAGATGTGCATAATTCCATAGGTTTGAGAATCACATTCCAGAATCATAGGCTATGAACCTCATAGGGTAAAATATATGTTTTAAGTTTCTGAAAGACTTATGGGGCCAAGAATGTCATTTAGACTTCCCAGAAAGCTCCAAAAATGTTTTCCCAGCCCACAATTTTATTTGTATCTTCTCCAGAAGACATTAGAAGTTTAAAAAGAGAATAATTCCTAACTTATAGGGCTCATCCTCGCATCCCTTATAAATACAACATGAGCATACCCCAGTAACCAATTTTGTAAAAAATACCTTGTATTTATGACATTATCAATGTCATCTCTAGTTGAGAATTGAGGTAGATTAAAGTTGTCTTTAACTGGTCTGGTTTTAAAGTTGACCTTCCTTCCTTCCTTCTTTCCTTGATACATTTTTTTCCATGGATGCAATGAAGCATGCATGAACAATATGATTGCAGCCATTGCAGCATCCCTGCAGGTATTCAATTGCTGTTTGGGTACCTGGCAATTGGCTTGCAATTATGACACTTGCAGCATCCAACAATTATGTGATTATTTCTGATCTTCCCTCCTGGCTTCCTGCAAATGGCTCCTGTTCCTGCCACTTTTCTGCTCACTCACACGCCTTCCTGCACTCCAAAGTGCCTCCTTGTAGTACCTGCCCTCCCACCAATGTTCCTAAGGTGCCCACCTATGTCACCCATCTATATAGTTCTCATCTTGCTGGCCTGCTAGCCTGAAAGTCGTATGGGAAGTCCTCAGTTAACCTGCATGGTTTAGTGGTTGTGTTTCTGACCAGCAGGTGACACTTGGCAGAATGGGAAACCAAGCCAGGGAGGTCCATCAATCATTTTCTTTAATTTGTAGTGCATTAAAATAAAATGGACAGTGCCACTTGCCAGGCTTGTGAGTGCAGTGCAATTTATATCAGCACACTTTTCTCCAAACTCATAGATTGGAAGATAAGACTTGGCCATCTGACTGGGAAGTCTTACATGCCATGAACAGCACTCATGTCATGTGTAGAGACAACTAATTATTCAAATATTTGACAGAGTAGCTGATGTGGTGAAAGTTACTGCACAAGTACAATTTTGTTACTGCACAAGTACAATTTTGAATACAATAGTGTTTTTTTCTCCTACCCTAAACTTGTGTTGATAATGGATATGTCTCAAGTTTATTGAACCTAAAAAAAATGTGCCCATTTCATTTGTGGAGTAATCACTTCACCTTAGTAAGTCTTAAATCATGATCTGCATATGTCTAACTGCTAAAAAGCTGCCAATAGTGTGCAATTCAAAGTTGGTTTGTTGTTTTACATAGTCTGTTTTATTTTTTGCGTTCATTTTGTTGTGCTTTGATGAATTAAGGCTTTAAAGATTCTTCCAGATTTTTTTTGGATTCTTCCAGTACATTTTTAGTTTTTATGGCTGCATGATGCTTTGTTTCACACTTTCTTAATGCTATATCTGGATTATTACCAAGGTGTAAAATTAGCTTTTGCAGCACCTATTTGAAAATGATACCTTGGTTGCAGATATATCTGCTTAGCAATTCTGTCATTGTAGCAATTCTGTTAAAGGGAGATTTATCCTCTCTCTTTTATTGGAGCTATAGTAAAAATATTACATTATTAAGCTGATGATGATTCATCCCCTTACACAGCCACTGTTGGAACATTTCAAGTTGCTTCCTTTTCTTGCAAAAGCAAGAAAGTGTTCCTACAAGGAGCAACAAGTTTGCAAACCTTTATTGATGCCTGTTCTTATGCACTTACTAATACCAGAAAAATGCCTTGCAGTAACGTATAGAATACTGTAAATAAACAGATTTGAAAATAGTGTTACAATAAAATGTGTGAAATATGTGAAACTGTATGTGAAATATGTGAAAATATATAAAAATCCAAACAAATTGTTTAGAAGTTGGAACACTAATAGCTATAATAATGTTAACAAGTACCACCAGTATAATTTAAAACTCCTGATTATTTTATTAGCAATTAAAATTTTGTGATTATCAATAAAAAGGTTAATTTCTTTTTCTTATTGGACTATCAATTATTTTCTAATTTGATGAGTTTCTCCTGAAGCTTTCTATAATGAAACAACCCTCCAAATCTACTTTCTAGATATATTAAACTGATATTATTTTGAATTGAGAGAAGGGTCAACAGAGAGAGGGCTACAGAGTTTTTAATATGTTTTTATTTATTTATTAAATTTATATGACACTCATCTCCTTATTGTGTGCCTCTGGGAAGTTTACAAGACTGTATCCATTCATTTTCTAGAAGTTTCTTGATTCCCTGAAATATTAAAAATTGGATCATCATTCAAACAGAATTTATATTCAGAGAAGGTATCTCTGCCCACTGTGTACAATCCCTTCCTTTGCTCCACAAATCATATTCAGGATGATATTCCAAGTCCTCAGGAGTGTCTTATGTATTTTATTCACTTATCAATAAAATTTATATAGTTACCCATTTCACAAAAAGTGAGTTGGGGGGGGGGTTGCCTGAAGATGAGTACGTGGAACTGAATTCCTTCTACTCTTGCTTCACAGGAGCTAATATTTTTGCAGATTTCATGGTAATTATATTCAACATGCAGTATTTACTTATTAGTATTACTTTGACAAGTTAAAAAAAATTGAGTCAGTGAAATGTGAATCTGTCTTTTCCAGCTAATATTTTTACATGCATTGCAAATTGATCTCTGGTGGGATCCTGCAGGAGGATGAATGCAGAGGAGCTGGAGCTGCTGGGTGATTCCAAGTACAGGAACTATGTAGCAGCTGTCGACAAGGCACTGAAAAGTTTTGAGTACTCTAGTGAATGGGCTGATTTGATTTCATCTCTTGGAAAGCTAAATAAGGTATGATGGAGAAGCCCTCTGATTGAAGGGGAAAATATGCAATGGAATTAAAAAACTTGAAATTCCTTTTATTGTTATCGGCTGTTGTTTGATGAAATTGGAGTAAAATGTTCTGTGTAGTTTATATCATTTTATAATTGTTACACCAGACAAAATCTGACTTGTTTTTATATAGTACATATTAAAGAGAAAGTAAGAGTTGAATTTATGCCTGATCTTTGGGGGGTGACTTGTTTCCACTCTGTTGCCATAATATAATACATCCTATTCAGGAAGAGGTCTTACAGATGCTTTAATGCACTGAGCAGTGGACCTGAGGGGACGAGGAAGTTAATGAATGCACTCTGCTACCATGACATTAGTGTAAATAAAATCATAGCTCTATACAGATACAGAACACTTTTAACAATACATAGCAACAAATAATAGATTATTTTTGTACATTATTAATATATAAATAAATATTCATGTGTAAATATGAAAGAAAATTAACAATGAAAGCCAGTTTGCTAAATAAGAACTTTGAGCATCTACACTCAAGAATCGATTTTCTTACTGCATCATGATTTGCTTGATAACATATATTCAGAAAATTTGCTTTCAAGCTTGTTAATCCAATAAATCATTTTCTGACTAAATCTTTTGCAATAACTTCCAAGAGATCTAACAATGTTTCTCGTCAGGTTCTTCAAAATAATGCAAAGTACCAAGTTGTACCTAAAAAGCTGACCATAGGGAAGCGCCTTGCACAATGCCTTCATCCTGCCCTGCCTGGTGGGGTGCATCGGAAAGCCCTGGAGACATATGAGATTGTTTTCAAAATCATTGGCCCCAAGCGCCTGGCCAAAGATCTCTTCTTGTACAGGTGAGTAAAATTACATTTCAATCATGGTCTTATTTTAGTCAAACAGCTTTTACTGTAAATTTTTTCTACTATAGCAGTTTATATTCCATACTGCAAAACCATATTATACAAAGTTATTGGCATGGAATTATCATATTGTATACTTTGATTTAGCAGATATCTAGCAGACATCCTCTCCTTCCAATTAGTCCATTAAAATGACTTTTCACTGTGTAGCAGTGGCCCCCAATCTTTTAGGCATCAGGGACCAGTTCCGTGAAGAGAGATTTTTCCACGGACCAGAGAGGGGCATGGTTTTAGTGCTACCTGCATCTTGCAGATGGGGCTTCATTTGTTTGCATGTCCCATGGCATGCCGCCCTGTGGCATGCCACAGACCGGTGCTGGTTCATGGACCTCTGCTGTATAGTATATTCATCTATTTTGTGTATCAGTGATCATATTCATATAATACTCCTAAACACATCAGTTTAAATTGCTGCTCTCAACCAACAGATGAAATTTAGTTAATGTTAAACTTTTGTGGCTTTATATGGTATGCCATTTCATTAGCTTATGATTTAATACGTTGTGCAAAACAAAAAATATGATTTTTTTCAATAACCATGTATTCTGCAAGCATAATATGGCTGTAAAAGAAAGCAGCTTAATACATGATTTTATAATTAAATGATTCTATAATTCTATTATTAAGTAAGCTTATTCATGTTTATGATCAGTTACTGTGTAGCAATTGTCTAACAGAAAAAAAGATTGAGAGATTGTAGTTTTTTTCACTGCAGTTATTATCATTGGAGTTATTCAAATGGATCTAAAGTTGCACCGCATACAACTAGAAGCTCCATTTTGTGTGTGGACTGCACAGCTACAATACACGTTACAGTTTGTCATTGAACTGGTATACAAAGTAACTTTGTGTTTCATACCTGTGACGCTGACCTCTGTGTTTTTTATTTTGTTTTGTTTTTTGTATATTTCTACAGTTCTGGCCTATTTCCTCTTCTTGCTAACGCTGCAATGTCTGTTAAGCCAGCATTGCTCAGCTTGTATGAAATGTATTACCTTCCTTTGGGCAAAACATTGAAACCAGGCCTGCAAGGATTGTTAACCGGGATCCTGCCTGGTTTGGAAGAGGGGTCTGAGTATTATGAAAGGTAAGATTGAAGAATAATGGAACGTTGACTTCCGGTTTGAGCTTCTTCAGCGACAGACCGAAACCTCGTCTCTGCGAGGCTTCGATCCGTGCTCGCCGCTGGAGCGCCCCAAGCCGGCTGGTTTTGGGGCTAAGCCACCCCGTAGAGGTGGTGAAGAGGGGGGAGACTGCCAGCAGGGTTGAGGAGAGCCGCATCTCTCCTCCCCAGCTGGCCATTACTCCCTTTCCCGAAGGCGGTTGCAGCGGTGGTCAGAAATGGCCACCACAAAGAAGAACTCGACTGGAAAAGAATGTGCAGGAGGAAGATAAGAAGAGAAAGTTTTGGTTGACTGGGTCAAACAGCAAAAGCAACAAATAAGGTACCCTGGAATTGAAACTGTTAAAAAACAATAACATTGTTCCCTAAGAAGATTTTTAAGCTGCGAAGGAGAGAGAAAAGGGAAAAGATTTGGTTTTCTCCTTTTCCTATACTGACAGCTAAGAGACTTAAGCAAGAAATTGGGAAAAAATCCACTTTGACATCAATAGGCATTTAATGCTGAAAATAAAAAGTCAAAGGGATAATAAAGATTTCTGGATAATTAAAAGCTTTTGAAAACAGGAAAGGAGAGAGGAAGAATAAAAGGGCAGGATCTGGAAGGGAGGAGACTGCCTGGAATTAAAAAAACTTACAGCAAAATCTCAACAAGACTTCCAAAAGATACATTCTAACTGAAATATCGCAACAAAAACCCCAGGAAGAGAAAGTCGAAAAAGAAATAAGAAGATATAACTCGGGACTATCTGGATTACTTGATGATTTCTGGATTCTTGGTTATTGTTTTGAATGACTAAAATCAATCGGGTGGTTGTTTAAAACTGTTTAAAATGGCTCCACTTTTAGAAGAACTGAAAATGGAACTTAAAAAGTACAAAGAAGATGCACAAGAAGGGAGAGGTTCTTTTGGCTTCGTATTTCAGTTTTTAGAAATGGGGATTTGGAATTATGAGAAACAAGAAATGCCTGCAGAACAAGAAGATTGCGACAAAGAAGAAGCCATCTTTAATGAACAAGTAATCTTAGATGGGGGGGAAAAAGGAAAGGGGAGAAAGAGAATGGAAAGTTTAAGATTGGGAAAAACAACTCCCAAAAAAATAGAGTGAAAAATAAATATAAAATCAGAAAGCAACAGAAGAGGGAAATGCAGAAGAGAGAATTAGAACTAGAGAGACAAGGGGGTAAAAGGGGGAGGGAGAAAATGAGAGGGAAGAAAGAAAGGAAAAGAAGTTATAAAAGACAGAAGCAAAATATAGAGAAACAGGGTCTATTTAGAGATAATGGGTGAAAACTTAATGGAAAAAGGGATTCTGCAAAGGTACATAAGATAGTATGGTTATATTAGAAGCAGAATTTTTTTTAGAAAATATGAAACAATGTATGATTAAAATGTCTGATAAAATAGCTATCGTAATTCAGTGGAATGCTTGTCAATAAATAAATGTAACAAAAGGTATATTTAATGATTTATAAAACATGCGTGAAGAGAAATAAGGGAAAAATTAATTATGGAGATTATAAGTGTTTTAAGGAAGTATGATATTTAATTGAAAAGAAGTGTTAAAGATGTTATGGTTTTAGTGATTATTAATGATAGAACTGAACTGGAATAGAATGAGGGTTTATAATTACATATATTTACAATCTTTCCTTTTTTTTAAAGAATATAGTGTGTATTATAAGAATGCCAAGCAGAATTCGATTGGAAGTTATGTATTATGTATTATATTGAAGATCATAAACTTAAGGTATATATTGAAGTTTAAATACGAGTTGAATGGATGTAATTAAAAGATATAAAGGTGTCATACTCCAATTAGTAACTACAGGAGAAAATTTGTTTAATGAGAAAAGATAATATGAAATTGAAACAGAACAGACAAAAGTATAAATATAATGATTTGAACTGAGATGAGATAATCAAAATAAAATTGAGAAAATTAAAAGAGGGGAAAAACTATATAGAAAATGTAGAATAGTATAAGATATGGAATAGAATACAAAAAGAAGCATGAAATTGAGTTTTGTGTCTGTATAAAGAAGTTCAACCCGGGACCATGCTATTTTCAAAAAAGATGTTTTACTTGTATTTTGTGTGTGAAAACCCAAATAAAACTTTATTAAAAGAAAAAAAGAATAATGGAATGTTATTGTTACCAAAACTTATCTTCCTTGTTTTAATTGGTTATGATACAAGAGTTAACTTTCTGACTGAAAAAAAAATCAAAGATTTTGGTGCATGAATCTTAAAAAACTATTGGAAGTTCCAGCTTCAACATCAAACTGTTTTTCCTCTTTCTTGTATTCAGATTCTGTTGTGATTGAACTGGGAAAAATCTGTTGGGCCGAACTTTTGTAAGAAACACAGGTTCAGTCACAATTCATTATATTTCATGCAGGACCAGCCAAGCAAGAAAAGCCATCTACATGTAGTTACTTTAACATTCTGTCTGAATCATAATTCATAGTATATCCGACCTATATATCTTTTGTTTAGAATTCCGGATTATCCTAACATTTAAATTGGTCACAGATTTGTTTCTAATAAGAAGATAATTCTTAATCCTCTCAAATAAAATACATTATGCATCTGTTTCTAAAAAGATGCAGGAGAATTTCAAGGGAAGAAGTTAATATTAGCCCTACCTTCCCAATACATTCCACATGATAAAAGCCTTCTCTAGAAGCATCATTTCTTGTTTTCTTTGAACATTCCTGGATTTTCATTTTGTCCTTTATTGTTGGTTGTGTTCCAGAACTAACACTTTACTAGAGAAAGTTGCTGCAGCAGTGGACCAATCAGCTTTCTACAGTGCACTGTGGGGTAGTCTTCTTACTAGTCCTGCAATTCGGCTGCCTGGCATTACTTATGTCCTCTCCCATCTAAACAGGAAGCTTTCTATGGAGGATCAGCTCTATATCATAGGCAGTGACATTGAATTAATGGTAAGTGTTTATGAAGCCATAATGATAGCTCTTGGTTCTTTGCCTTCCTAATTTTTTTATATAATCATTGCATAAAGAAACAATGCCTATATAGGAGCCGTATTAAATGCAGTATTAAAGTATTAAAACTCTCTGCTCACTGCAAGTCTCACCGGCTCAAGGTTGACTCAGCCTTCCCTCCTGAGGTTGGTGAAATTAAGGCCCAGATTGTTGGGAGGAAATATGCTGACTCTGTAAACTGCTTAGAGAGGACTGTCAAGCACTGTGGAGCAGTATATAAGTCTAAGTGCTTTTGCTATAAGTGATAGGCCATTCTTGATTAAAGCAGTTACATAGAAGGGGACTTGTCACAAATAACACCTTCTGTGCTCCTTCCTGCCAAACCCCCAATAAGTGATGCTTTCCTCTTCATATATGTCCTGCAGATTACTGGGCAATTCCCAATACTATTCCAGAAATGCAAAGAGCCTATTATCTATTTATATTATACAAATTTTGATTACTTTCTTCCTTGGTTATATTTGACTCGTTATTACAAAACCGAAGAGTAAAAAATAATTATTTATTGCATGAGACTCGTTTTAGCTCACACTTGTACAAGGATAGGAACACTTCTTATGAATTATTTTCAAATTGTGCATACCTTATTACTTACAGTATTTTTAATCTGAGAAGTGGATACTTCTAGTAGTTTGTATATTTTCCTTGCTGGTAAAGTCTTTTTTTTCTTCTGAATCAGATCTTTGGCACTGAGCCAGTTCTGTTTATTGATTTCTCTCACAAATGGCTTTTTTCCTGATTTATGTGATGCAGCTATCCTTTTCCTCAACAGCTATTGGGCATCCATGCATAGGTTTATATATTTAAAAGCCAAAATCCAGACTACAGAAACAGAGGAATGCACAATTATATGTATCACTCTATGCATAGAGAGAAGATTGGAAGAAAAATTATCTGAATAGGGATTGCAAATATCTAATGTTTTTGTAAATGTGCAATTTTTAGAAAAGTAATTAAATAGCATTATCAATCTGTGCTCCTTTCTAATGGCAATTTTATTTCAGGTAGAAGCAGTAAGCACTTCAGTGCAGGATTCCAGTGTCTTAGTACAGAGGAGCACACTTGATCTCATATTATTCTGTTTTCCATTCCACATGAGTCAGGTAAAGTACTGCTGAATCCTTATTGAATGAAGTACTGATATGTTACCCACAAATAAAAAATTCAGCTTTCTTTTCTTTAAATTTCCCAAATCTGCATAATATTCTAGTGGGAAACAGCAACTCTTCAGTTGCTAGACTTCTATCTCCTGTATTCAAAACTTCCTTTCAAAATTCTATAGATGCATAGCATATTAGAAATCAAAGAGTTCCTTCTTGTTCTGGTGGCAATCCATTGTATCTTAAAGAAGACAGCTTTCAGAAGATACCTGTGCTTTGGAAATGGCATTCTAGAGCCATGTTTTTTCATGGAAAAGTATAACCCTGTTTACTTCAGCCAATCCGCTTCTTAGTCACATTTCTAGTATAAAAACAATGGTACAAATTCTTCAAAATTGATGCTTCATAATGTACCGAAAAAAATGGGAAATGGCTCTTATCGTTAAAGCAGATGAATCTTTTTCTAGGTTGCTGTGGCTGCTTCAGTAGCTGCTTCTTATATAACTGAGCATGTTTGACCACTTTACATTTTCATTTCTGGAAATTTACTGTTGAAAACAGCTTTTGGTATTTTGACTCAGCCTCTGTGCTTAGATTATGTAAACTTGACTATTCAGGTTTGTTTTAGCCTTGTGGGGTAAGAAGAAAAAAATATGTCTTTTCTTTTTTTAAAATCTTGTACTTGGGAGCTATATCTACCTATATCTTGTTACTAAAGTTAATAAAGATGCATTCATATTTCAATTGCAGCCTATATAAATTTCTATTGGTGCTTGGAAGTGAAGTAAATAATCATTGTTCCATCGTATAATAAAGTTTTTGAATGTGACACTTGTTTAAATGTGACATTCCCAATTTTAGGCAACACGCCCGGATATGATCCGAATTCTTTCAGCTTCTCTTCATGTAGTGCTACGCAGAGACATGTCACTCAATAGGAGGCTTTATGCCTGGCTTCTAGGTAGGTTATAGGATTTATATATTTATTTACATCTATGCATATATCATTTTTATTTGAAATGTGCAATCTGCTTTTCAATCTGCAAAAGATTGTAAACAAAAGTACAGGATTTTAATAAAAAATAAAAGTATACTATTTAACATATGAACACAAATGCAAAATAATTGAATCAATGAGAGCAACTGGTATACTAGTTAAACAAGAGATCATGAGGTCTAGTCCCGCCTTAGGCACAAAGCCAATCACTTTGTCTCAGGCCTAGGAAAAGAGATGACAAGTCACTTCCAAAACTTTTGCCAAGAAAACTATATAGACTTGACTGGGTAGTCTCCATGAGTCAAAAATTGACTCAAAGGCAGGCACATGTGCACTTACACACAAACACACACACATACACTCAAGAGTTTTTGTCAATAATAGAAAATGTAATAGGCCATCTAAGTTCTAATCATCTTATTGTTAAGAGATTGTCCCTGTAACTGTTTGCAATTGGAGCTACATATTCTGCACATTTTCTGTTTTCTTTAATTATTTTCAAAATCAAAAATAGTTTAAACAATGCATTTAAAGTTTTCACAAAAAAAAATCATCGTTAACCTATTTAGTCATCTTCTCAAATTTGTGCAAAAGAGATCTTATTAATAGTGAGAAGCTTGTTTGATATGGTAATTATTCCAGTTCCAGGTTCTGCTTTCTCTACACAGACTTTAGAGGTATAATTTTTGGGTACTTTTATTAGATTAGCCTTTCCCAGTCTGGAACCCTCACAGAAATTAACCTGACCAGGAATAATTCCAGCATATTTGATGGGTGCTAGGTTGGGTGAAATCTCTTCCAGATTTAGAGTTGTTCCTAGATTTTAACTGGGAGACTAACATTGTCAAGTTTGTTGGGGAGTCCCAGTGGTCCTCAATATTCTATCAATATCATTGCTTACTTTCTTCCTTCTGACATGCTTGCTTCTTGCCCTCCTGTACCACTTTTACTGTCTGTAACCTTTTTAATAGAGACTATTGAGTTTGCCGTTCAGACATACATTTATCCCATTCCTAGAAGCGTTCCTCTCCCCCGCATTCAGAAATAACAGGGGAGTGTTACTGATGCTCTAATAGCACCAGGTGGCAGTGGTGCTCAAGTGCCAGTTGCTTTGCAATTTTGGGGGGAATTTTGGGGAGTTTTAACAATCCCTATATAGAGCATAAAGTCTACTACAAAGCAAAAATCCAAATGTCCACTGTAATGAAGTAGTATCTCTATTAGATGTGAGGGAAAGGTGAACAGGCCTTAAAAGAGAGGCGACCATGGTGTTTTTCTGAATTGAGTCTGGGAGTTGGGGATCAATGGCACAATGCTGTACAGGTTCTCCTCCATCCTCAGTTCCAGTTGACGTTGATGGGAGATGGGACAGGCCAAGTCCCCAGCCTATATTTGGTATGATACTGCAGGGTTCAGTACTTTCTCCCCTCCTTAACATGAAGTCGCCAGATGAGGTGATCCAACAGTTTGAAATGAATATCATCACTATGCTGATAATACCCAGCTTTATATCCCCATGCTTGGCTGTCTGAGTGATTCTATGGAAGTGTCCATTCCTGGAGACTGGGGGGATTCAATACAATGCAAGAAACATAAAGTGGCTTTGGGTTGTTGATTTTTGACCGCTTGGTTCTAGGCACCTTCCATTTTGGGGTTGAGTGGGATAGTACTGCCTCAGATAGAACCAGTGTGCAATCTGAGAGTCTTCCTGGACTCACAGATCCTACTTGAAGAACAGGTAGTAGTTGAGGCTAAGAAGACCTTTGCACAGCCTTGTGCTGTGTTTCACTTATGCCTCTGCGTAGAACAGGAGGCTGCATTCACAGTCACTTGTGACCTTTTGTTTTGATTAGCACTATATAAGGCTGCCCTTGAAGAATATTCAGAAGTGCCAATTGGTACAGAATGCAGCTGTGTGGGTAGTTAATGGCTCAGATTATTTGGTGCATGTGACACGACTGCTCCCATAGCTGCATTGGCTACCAATTTGCTTCTGGGTGCTGGGAGTCACCTGTAAAATCCTACATGGCTTGGTCCTGGGTTACTTATGGGATCATCTCTTCCCAGTTGGGAGACTTCAGTTCACTCAAAATGCAGTCTCTAATTTAATCACAAGACTGAACCAAAGGAGAATAGTACTCTTGGTCTGAAACAACTCTGTATTTCTGAGCTCATTTCTGATGATAGGTCTAAATCATAGTTTTAAAGATTACAATATGAGGCCTTGTTCTGTAACTATGTAAATTACATGCTTTTTCATATTCAGCCATTTCGTGCACAAAGACTTTCAGTTTTGAAATACCAAGCTTGTATTGAATTATGTATATGGGAGCTAGACTGATTTTGTCAAGATTTCCACTAACTGGCAATAACTTGGAAATTGTACGTGCTTGTAAGACAATATGCAGGTAGTTCTTGACTTACAGCAGTTTGTTTAGTGACCATTCAAAGTTACAACAGCACTGAAAATAGTGACTTATGACTGTTCGTCACCCTTACTACGGTATTACTGTTGCAGCATTCCCATGGTCATGTAATCAAAATTCAGATATTTGGCAACTGAATCCTATTTATGACAGCTGCAATGTCCCGGGGTCATGTGATCACCTTTTGCGACCTTCTGGCAAGCAAACTCAATGGGGAAGCCAGATTCACTTAAAGTTAGTATTACTAACTTTAACAACTGCTCCTGTGGTTCACTTAACAACTGTGGCAAGAAAGATTGCAAAATGGGAAAAAAACTCACATAGCAACAGAAATGTTGGGCTCAATTGCAGTCACAAGTCAAGGACTACCTGTAGTTTTAAAGTTTTGTGGTTTTATTGTGGTGAGCCACCCAGGGTTGTGCTACAGAATAAATTGCCATACAAATCTTTTAAATAAATTAAACACACACACACACGAAGAGGGGAGATGTCTTACAGTCTTATGAACATGAACAATATCAGCTATTGGGGAAGATGACAATGGATTTAGCTCTCCTCCCCAAACTATTTTTTTATTTGATTTATTGATAGCATTTTAAAAATGCCTTTCTCCAGAGGCTCTAGGCATCATGTAAAATAATCAGAATATAATAGAAAGCAATACAATAAAACAATATGGTTTTATATTCATACAATATTTAGCAATGTAGTTTCTTAATTTGTTGGTTTGAAGCTGTTCCCCATTATACAGAGTATATTATACTACCCATTAGGAGTATTTTAAGTCTGCATGGAGTAATTGCTTCATTGCTGCTCCTTCCTAATTAAAACAAGTAGGGCATACCTTTTCCTTATTAGCCAATTGTTTATGTTTCTTTTTTAGAGGATGGAACCGCATATGCCATCCAGGTTGTCCTGTATGCCTAAAGTAGACAATTATTTCTCAGATATGTTCCATTTCAGTATTAAAATGACATTCAGGTATCAGTCCAATCAGATTCTGTACATAGCACACAGAGAGTACCATCTGCTTTGCCTAAGGCAGCAACATGTCATCTGCAGTCTTCTTACATCATTATTCTCTATGGTACATTTATATATTGCAGGATTTTTGTAAAAGTTAGGGCAAATTAATCCTCACAAAGCATCTTTAGGATTAGGATACATGTACATAAATGTGGGTGCATGTGCATTTTGCAAAATTGCTATTTAAGTGACTTGAATGTTTGTGAAATAAAAGTGTTGAGTCTACATAAAATTAACTTTGGCATTTGGGAGTCTTTATAGATACAAAAGCAGCCTTATATTTTGCTCTTATTAAATTAGTTTCCTTTTATTAAATTTAACTTAAAATGGTCTTTCCTCTTGCCAACAATATTTGGACGGCAAAATGGTGAGTTCTCATAACTAAGATCTTGTGCTCCCTGTTCTTTGTTCTTGGTTTGCCTAAGTGTAGCATTGATTGAGTTTTTATTTTTATTTGCTTGAAGGTTTTGATAACAATGGGGCTATTACAGGACCTAGAAGTACGCGAAATAGTAATCCTGAAGAGCATGCAATATACTACTTCAATACATTCTCTAAGGAAATGCTAGTTCAGGTAATATGTTTGTGTGTGTTGGACAGACAAACATATGTCTGTGTTGTATTACCTTCTGAGTGCTGAAGTTGATCATGGTGTGTGCTTTTTTGCTGTAGCCTCAGGAATAAATCTTGGCAAATCACATTAAACTGAACATGGATTGTCAGTTCTGTAATGTGATATATAAGGTGTCCTTCTCCCACACAAATAGTTTTAAATTAGCTTAGGATTGTTGGGGCACACTATACATATAGTTCAGTTTCCAAGAATGCCATGAGTGTATTCAAAACACCCCCACCCGCACCAAAGAGCTGGTTCTATAAACAGAAAGGATGAACATGCAGCAAGGTCTCCTACTAACAAAGATCATAATGGATTTTGCTCTTCCCCCAAAATATTAGATTAATAAACTGCCTTATTGCAGAAGTTCTAGACACTGCATAACATAATTAGACTATAATACAAATAGTAATACAATAGTATTGTAATAGTATTACAATAATAACACTAACAACAGTAATGGTGCAGATCTTTGTGTAGCTGTCTAAATATCATAGGACTTCTGAAAAATCCAGATCTTAATTATTCTCTAGGAAACCATGAATGAGGACCAAACTTTCCTGGGGAGTAAATTGTTTCAAGGGAAGGGAGCTGTCAAAATGTCCATCTTTGTATCTTCTAACTTTTAGCCGGCACTTTATTCAACCAGATTGGGTCGGCAGAATTCACTTGGAATAGGCAGCTTCTAAATTACCTAGACCCTGGGACATTTAAGACTTTACAAATATTAATCAGAACTTCATATTGCACTTGGAAACAAACAAATCCCATAACAGAAAGATTATGTGGCAATGCCATGATTATCCAATAAATATGTAGGCAACTCCATTTTACACCAGTGGTAGTTTTAAGGTGGTCTTCAGTGACAGCCCCGTAAGGTGTGAATGGCAGTAGTGGAGACACAAGGAAAAAAGGAAATAAATAACTGTCTCTTATGTCATATTCCTTCCATGGTTAAGCAAGCCATAACTTAGTACAGTCCATTAACCAGATTTGTATGTGACTTTGTACCTAGCCTAAATTCTCATAAATGCATAAAAACGTTTTGATTCTAAAGTATCTTCTCTTATAGGCTATGGTGGGAATTCTGCAAGTCAATGTGCATAGCGAAGAGACCACATTGATGCAAGATCTAAAGCCTTTTCGGATTCTTATCAGTTTACTGGACAAACCTGAGCTAGGTAACTAAATGTTAATTGACATTTGTGTGTTTGAGCTTATGGCAAATGTTGCATTAGACTGGATTCTAGATTAAAAAAAACTAGCTTGGACTTTCCAAATACATGTGTTCATACACTATAAATGAAACAGTAATCCTGATTTTATAGTCAACCTTTCCTCCTAACCTTCTCTTGTCATCCAAATCTCCTTTTGTCCTATCTTCAAAGGCTGTTGCCAACCTATTACCACATAGATTGATGGTGCAGAGTTATTGTCATAGGGAGTAGATTAGAAAAGATGGTGCAGGGGAGTGCTGGGAAAGGTTACAATTGTGCTTATGTAACAATCATGGGAAATGACTATGGGGGTCTTAACAGCTGCCTAGCACTGTAGGGGTGTAAATGCAGTGAGATACATCAGCAGGCATATTTGGGGTCAAATCTCAGTAAAAATGCACATCATACAAGTAATACAAGAAAAATGGCCCTAGGGATAACCAAGATTGTAGATTAAGTACTGGTGGTAATATGAAAGTGTTAAGAATTCATAAAACCAACACAATAATAGGTATCCTATTAATGCATTGTACTTCCAATATCCAAATAGCAATTTTCAACAGTTTTCAGAACATTTTTACTCCAGCTAATAGTGTAAAAATTATTTTGCCCAGTCATTTGGTTTCATGGTATTAGTGACATAAGTGCCTGGAATAAAATGTATGTAAATACTTTGCAATTGTGTCAGTGGACCCGTTCAGTTAGTAATTGAAATCAATGAGACATAAATCAGTAAATGCTCATACAGTGAATGTACAATTATTTGTTTGCCTTCTAAGAATCAGCTTTATAGTGCAAATATTTTCTCAGCACTTCAACTGCAGTGAAAATATGCTGATCAAATCTCTGCAGGATTTCTGGAAATTTGTTAATAATAATAAAATACAGTACATATAGTGCAGGATAATTTATCAATACAATTGCAATTCTTTCCTTTTTTTAGGACCTGTAATATTAGAAGATGTATTGATTGAAGTATTTAGGACATTGTACACCCAGTGCAAAGCAGAACTGGATATTCAGATGGAGTCTTCCTTTAGTAAGGATCATACTCAACTAAGCAGGTGATTAGGGGGAAGGGGGGAAGAAAGAAATTGCTGCCATGATAGCCCTATATCATTCACTTTCTCACAGGAATATAAGGCTGCTGTTAATTAGTTTTCTGTGAATAGCAGGCTTCCATGCTGATTTGGCAAAAAAAAAAAAAAGTATGCAGAAAATTGTGAGGGAAAAACATTATGTCACAAAATAGATGATCATTGTGGATTTTAGACAATTTTTGTGACATTTTTCCCCTTTGGCCCACAAGGAGGTTCGTCACTGCCTTCTTTTGAGATGTGTTTTGATTTCTTAGTTGAGTCTGCAACTCTGATGTTTCCAGGTGGTTCCCAATCCAGATATTAACCAGACCCATTTAGCTTTTGAATGCAAACCATATTAATCAGGTTACACTTACATAGTAATGGTTGGCTAATATTAGAAAGTGCCATAAATCATTAGTAAGGATCCTACTTTTCTTTGGTTTTCTGCCACCTTATTGTGCTCTTTTGGACATTAACGCTCTGCTGCCACTGCTGGTATTTCCTTTACTTCTTGTCATTTTCATGAAGTTGAATGTGGGACTGCTGAAACTTGTTATAAGGAAAGAGTCATTTTTATTTTTTTTTTCAATTTCTTCAGCCACTTTCTTATACATGAGTTCCAGGAAGTTTGTGGAGGGCAGCAGACATTTTTATTTTGCCCATATTTTTCAATGCTTTTTTAATATAGAAGAAGTATTACGTATTAAATGTCTATGTGGAAAAGATAGTAAAAATGAGACAGAGCCAAAAAAAAACTCAGGAGGAAAGGATGGTGATAAAATGAAACATTGCTGTTAAGAAACAAAGAAATAAGTTTGAATTAGGAATATAGATGGTTGAGTATGTACATATTTCACTGAGCTGTTGTGCTTTTCTTTCAGCAAATTGAGGGAAAATAAGAAAACAGCAGAGCTGATTAAAACTGCCAATCTTCTGTTTAATTCTTTTGAGCCTTATTATATGTGGGACTACATTGCCCGTTGGTTTGAAGAATGCTGTAGGTAAGGTACATTTCATATAAGTGTTTTTATATTACTATTGAAAAGATATATTTTATAAATCATCATTATCATTTTAGCCATTGTCTATCCACTGCAACATGAAGGCCTCTTCCGCATGTTTTATAAATAGTGTTTCATATTCTTTGATAAAATAAAATAATTGGTTCATTCCTTATCTGAAGGAAAGAAAAGCTGCGTAATTCCAAATATTTGAAGCGACTTGCCTTTTAGAAGGAGAGGACTGATGTGGAAGACTTTATTCTTTTGAGAGTGCACTGGTTATGCTATCACATAATTTCTGTCTTGATGATCTTCAAAATATACTTCACTCTGAAAGGCATTGATTTTAGGATATGTGAAAGACTATTTGATGTGCTTAATCTATAACAATCCATTCAGATGCACAAGTTAGCAGTCAGTGCTGAAGGTTATGAAGCATGATTCTGTATAGGGATTTTTTTCCTGGAAAAAAGTGACAGGAGGTGATTTTTAACTCCCTGCTAAAATTTTTGCCCTTTGAGAAGTTGTTCTGGAGAGTTAGGAGTTTGTAAAGGGCAGGAGATTCAGGGGACTAAAGCCTAATCCATGGGAAATAATAATAGTGATTAAATAGAAACACAAATTCTTATTTGCTTGTTTCAAATTCTGATTTATAAAAATATATTTGAAGAGTTATTTATTTTTTGCAATTGAAATACAGTTCTGTTATTTCCACTATTTTATTATTTATTGGTTGATTTTATTTATAAGGCTGTCCATCTCACCTAAGTGACTCTAAGTAGCTTACAACAGCTAAACAACAATCCAATAAAAAACAAGTTAAAAACTATAAACCATAAAACATTGATAAAAATATTTATAACACAAAGAGATATAAACCATGTTTATTACATTATAAAATAAGAGTTTAAGAAATAATTAAGACCTCTACTTACAGTTTCTAGTCCTGCAGATGCTGTTCTACCAGTGCTTAAACTCTGCTTGAATTCATAGGCGGACTCTGCATGCTCGATTACAGGCCGTGCCTGGAGGTGCTAGTGAACCTGCTGAATTCCCTCTTACCAATTTCTGCCTTCTGGTTGATTTTTTGTTGGATATAGTCTCTTTGGTAAGATTCCCTTTGCTCATTCTAACTATAGTCTTCCTAATAGTTCTCTTTTGTTTTATAAAATAGATGGGCTGGAGAAGTCTTTGACTTTAAATCACATAACAAACAATATCGCAGGCTATGAATGTATTTAACAATTAGAGGTTCCATAAGAGTCTAGTCTTTTTTTGATATGTAGGATTTGTTTTACTTCTTGTCACGGTGATTTCTCTTTTTCTATATTTCTCATTACTATTCTGCTTTGACTGTAGATTAATTTTTTTGTTAAATCTGCTAAATAATAGTAGTTCTTTTGCATGTATCCCACTACCTGTTAGATAACAATATATGTTAATGGAAGCTCTTGAAAATGCTTTTTTCCTATATTTTTCTTTTATCTTCAAATTCTTTGCTTTTTCATTTCAAAGCCTACTAGAAGTATGAAAGTGCTTTGTCAGGTATGGCATTCTTACTGTTTTTTCAATTAAAAACAATCCTTTGCATGCACTTCAGACAGTACATTTTGTAAAATTTCTTGTAAGAAAACTGAAATTGCTCTATTAGGCCATTATTTCTGAACTGTTACTTTCCATTATTAACCTGTTTTCAAGTGATTATTATTAACAGAAAAATAAAAGATTTATATGTGAATAATTTTTCATATTTTCAATGAATAATATATTGATTTGAGAAGAAGGAATCAGCCAGATAATGTTTCCAGTGCTTTAAAAAAAAGTCTAAGAAGTGCATGAGAATTACTCAAAAGTCATCACTTCTAAAATTATTTAAAAAGTTGTGCTGATTTCTCTTGTGTGGTAGAATATGTTTATGTATGTATATTTATCTGTAAATAGATGTGAAGAATGTGTGCAGGATATAAGACTGTATTTCATGTAAGTTTTCTGAAAATACCCTCCCTTTCCTTTTGTTCGTCTGACATCTTCTCAGTTCACACCTGGCTGCTAAAACCTGTAGTTCAGGAACTTTTTGAATGAACTAAACTGTGCTGAGTGGAACTGAGAGGGAAATCAGTAAAAACAACACAGTGGCAGTTTCTGTTGCTCTTCTCTTATAAAAAAATTATTTGGGTTTTCACAAAACATAATACAAGTAAAATATCTTTTTTTGAGAATAGCATGGTCCCATATTATAACTTCTCCATACAGACACAAATTCAATTTCATATTCATCTTTGTGTTCTATTCCATATCTTATTACTATTTTAATATTTTCTCAATAATTTTTCTCTTCCCTTAGTTTCCTCAATCTTACTTTTAATTATCTCATTCCTTTCTAAATTCAATTATATATATGTTTTTCTAAGTTTCAATATCTTTCTAGTCATTATATTTATACTTTTGTCTGTCCTGTTTCAATTTCATATTTTCTTTTCTCATTAAACAAAATTTTCCCCTGTAGTTACTAATTTGAGTATGACACCTTTGTATCTTTTAATTTTTATCCATTCAACTCTTATTTAAACTTCAATTTATGCCTTTGCAATTATAACATTCAATATAACACATAACTTCCAGTCGAATTCTGCTTGTTACATTCTTAAAATACGCACTAAGTTCTTAAAGAGAATATATATATATATATAACGATAATAAATAAAATACTTATTCTATTCCAATTCAGCTCTATCATTAATGTTAGTTATAATCTTTGACATCTTTAAACATTTCTTTTCAATAGGATATCATACTTCTAGGAACACTTATAATATTTCCATAATTTTTCCATGTTTCTTTCATATTCCTCTTCACTTAAATTTTTATAACACATTTATAATAATTAAAATGTTCCCCTCTTTTCCTAATATCATTCTCTCATTCTCTTTATTTCATTTATTTATTAAACATTACATTACATTACAATGAGTATTTTATCTATCATTTATCTATCTGTCACTTGTTTTACATTTTCAAAGTTCATTTCTATTTCTGATATACTATCTTATGTACCCTTGCAGAATCCCCCTTTCAATTAAGTTTTCACCCATTATCTCTGTGTCTTCGAAATAGGCTTATACCCTTAATCCTTGTATGTTTTCCCTGTTTCTCATATCCTGTTTCTGTCCTTTATAATTTCTTTTCCTTTCCCTCTTCCCCCTCTTCTTCTCCCTTCCCTTTTTGACCCCTTCTCTCTCTAATTCTGATTCTCTCTTCTGTAATCCTCTCTTCTGTTTCTTCCTAATGTTGTAATTACTTTTCAAACTATTCTTTTTGGGGGTTGTTTTTTTCAAATCTTAAATTTTTCACTCTCTTTCTCCCCTTTTCTTTCTTTTCCCCGCATAGAAATACTTGGTCATTGAAGATGGCTTCTTCTGTCCCTCCGTTCTTGTTCTACAGGCATTTCTTGTTGTTTCTCATAGTTCAGGATCTCCATTTCTAAAAATTGAAATACGAAGCCAAAAGAACCTCTTCCTTCTTGTGCATCTTCTTTCTGTTTTTTAAGTTCCATTCTCAATTCTTCCAAGAGTGATACCATTTTGAAAACTTTTAAACAACCACCCGATTAATTTTAGTCCTTTAGATCCAATAGTCAAAAATCCAAAAATCACCAAGTAATCCAAATACTCCAAAGCTGTTTCTTCTTGCTTCTTTTTTCCACTTTCTCTTCCTGGAGTTCTCTTATCTTGTTACAAAGTTTCAGTTAAAGTGTATCTTTTAGGAATCTTGTTAAGGTTTCACTGTTAATTCCTTTCACTTCTGGTGGTCTCCTCCATTTTTCCAGATCCCACCCTTTTGTTTTTTTCCTTCTTTTAAAAGTTTTTGAGAATCCAGAAATCTTTATTATCCCTTTGACATTTTATTTTCAGCTTAAATACCTGTTAATGTCAAAATGGATTTTTGCTGGTTTCTCGCTTAAATCTCTTAGTCGTCAATATAGGGAAGAAAAGAAAAAAAACCAAATCCTTTCCTTTCCCCCTCTCATTCGCCGCTTCAAAGTCTTCTTTGGGAACAGTGTTGTTCTTTATAATTCAAATTCCAGGGTACCTTATATTCTTGCTTTTTCAGTTCTACCCGGTCAGCCAAAAACTTTCTCTTCTTATCTTCCTCCTGCATGTTCTTTTCCATCGAGTTCTTCTTTGAGGTGGCCATTTCTGACCACCGCTGCAACCGCCTTCGGGAAAGGGAGTAATGGCCAGCTGGGGAGGAGACATGCGATTCTCCTCAACCCTGCTGGCAGTCTCCCCACTCTTCACCACCTCTACTTAGCCCTGAAACCAGCCACCTCGGGGCGCTCCACGATTGCAGATTTCGGTCTGTTGCCGAAGAGACTCAAACCGGAACCAGTTTCTGTTGCTCTTAAAGTCCCTGTTTTAGAAGGTGTTCATGCCTATCTATTTGCTTTGGCTCCTCCCATCCCCAGGCCCCTTTATTATATAACCCATCAGATTTAGTAGGGTTTTCCAGTATTAAAGAAAAGTCTGGAAATGTTATCTCAGTCTTCTGGATTAAGTTATTAATATTAATATAACTTAATATGTTACTTCTTTAAAAAACATTTCTGGAATTTGATTGCACATTTACATTGTGGTTAAAATGCACTAGATTAATAAAAGAGGGATGATTTTATAATGAGCTTTTTATTTTGTTTTTAGGAAACCTATATTGAAATACAAACAGAACACCTGCCTCAGCTTTTACTTAGAATGATCTCTGCACTGACAAGCCATCTTCAGACACTGCATTTGTGTGAGCTGACCGATTCCTTGAAACTCTGCTCAAAGATTCTTAGCAAAGTTCAACCTCCACTGTTATCTGCTGGTACTGACGGTGTTCTACAGTTACCAAACAGACACAATGCTCTCAAAGAATGGGAAGAGAAAAAGGTAACTGTAGATGTTCTTGCTTTGTTTAAAGATTACAGAGTAGCTTTTTTTTTAAAGGTAAGCTGTCAACTATTATTCTGCTGCTTGAAAATCAGTGACCTTCAGGTGAAAGTCAGATAACAAGTAGGTTATCACTATCTCTAAGATCTTATCTTGTTTCAGTGCTAAAGTTTGTCTTGGGTACTGTAGGCTCATCAGCAACTTAGCCTGGAAGCTTGTTTTCATGGTCTCTAGTAACAGAAGAAAGTTTAGAAGTCATTTCTTGCCCTTACAGTCAATAGAGCAATACCACATTTCGCTGGAGCTAAAGATAATAATGAAACCTTAATGTTGCTAACCGGTTCAGCTTTCAGTATCTAACATTTTGAAGTTACGGGAAAAAGTAGGAGAGGGGAGATGAAAATAATTTAGGGAGAAAAATTGAAGTGTATACAGAATTTATTTTTATACTACTGTCAATAAAAAGTGAAAATAACATAATAATGCAACAAAAGTATGCATAATTTGACTTGCTTATAATCATTTTGTATTTGAACTTATTAAATATAAATATCTAATTTAGTCAGATAACAATTATGATTACTAATGGAATATATTTTAAATGTTCATTTTTGTTATCGTCAGTGCAGACCTGGCCTATTTTAATTTTGTCCATTCACAAGTTGAAAAACAAAGTTGAAGACATAAGAAACTATTAGCAGGAAAATAAGACAGAATTATATCATAGCCAAGAGCACTTCAACTAGCCTCTAGGCAAAAATCAGATCAGGCTCTGAATTATCTTTTCTTCTCTGGAGAATATGGTGAGGGCTCTGAAGCCACAAATATATCTTGTTCTTGAGCTGGGCCACTCACTACTTGTCCTCTACAGTGTATAGGAACTGTACTGCTCTGCTCTATAAGATAAAGGCCTTCCTTTTACTAGTTAATATGAAGCCTTTTGCGAAAGCTTGTTTTGGCAGGCTTTACTGACAAAGTGGCCTGCAAAACCAAAGGCAAACCAGATAAAATTATATGGAGAGATAATCACAGTAATTCATTGGTACTAAACAGAACAGGAAGGCTTCAGCTTTATTAAACATTTCTGCAGACTCAAATATATCATTTTAGATGTAATTTGCTATCAAGGTGCATCAAATAATTTAATAGTCATATTCAACTATTCAAATTGCTCAGACTCATACATTAGAATTCAGTGAGGCTTTACTTAATTATGGTTTAATCTGTGAACCACTAACTTCCTTAAGGAAATTTTATCATTCTACTTCATGTTATTTTAGAATGCAGAGACCACATAGTATTGAACATGATTGCCTCAATCTAAATTTTATGTGGGACTTGTAAATTGAGAGTGGGTATTATTAAAGTTCTAAAATAAATAGTAGAAGTATACAATAAGTAGAAGAAACATACTCTTGCAGTTAACTTTTACTTGTAATCTAAAAAGAGGGAAGGTCTATTTTATGTGTTATTTAAATCTTAATCTTCTTCTGTCTTGAGTAGATGCCCCTAGTTGCTATCGAAAATCCCAATGACGTATTTGAGGATGGAGAAAATCCCCCAAGCAGTCGATCATCTGAAAGTGGATTTACTGAGTTTGTACAATACCAAGCAGATACAACTGAAGAGATTGACAGGATGTTGAGTGGGGGTCCTGGAGTACCTGCCATCCCCCTTATGGGCAGTGCCTCCTCCGAGACAGAGTCTGCCTCAACAGTGGGTTCAGAAGAAACCATTGTACAGCCTCCGTCCAAGTTGACCCAAGGGACAGGATCTCGAAGTGGGAAGACAATGACAATTCAAAAGACTGCAATGCAGTGCTGTTTGGAATATGTCCAACAATTTTTAACCAGATTTATCAACCTCTACATCATTCCAAGCAATTCATTGTCTCGGCCTTTGGCAACAGGGATTCAGGAGGACCTTGTAAGAGGGAAAGGAGAGACTGCACAGTGCACAAGAGAGTCGCAAGGAGATGCATCCAGAGGGAAAAAAACAGCTAAGAAGACAACACCAAAAGAATACCTCTCTGCATTCATTGCTGCATGTCAGCTCTTTCTTGAATGTTCAAGTTTTCCAGTTTACATTGCAGAAGGAAATCATCCCTCTGAAATCCATCCAGAGAAAGCAGATGTTGGTGAGTAATTATGTGTATGATATCTAAGGTTTTTTTATATATTTGACTGAACCTTGGGATTTGGAGGGAAGAGGGAGATTATTTCTACATTGCTTTTTGTTCCCTGCTTTATGTAACCAAAGAAAAACAATGTTTCCTTTGTATGGGAAATTAGAATAAAAGTTAGAGATATGCTGAGACTTAATTTTGAGAATCAATCTGACGTTTGCTCCAGACTAATGTGTATTTAGCATATTAGTGTCCATATTAGCGTCCACCAGAGTTCACATCACATGACATTGGGTTAAATGCACATCTTTACATTTTAGTGAATGTTTATGACATACTGACATTGGTCAGATTAATCAAAGAAGTACGTTGTTTGGACCTGTTAATCCACTCAATCATAATTTAATCTAATTGTTAGTCAAACTATTTTCCCCTATTTAGGGCAAACCCAGAAGCATAGTCAACCAGTTTTTCAAGCTCCAGAAACTCAGGTCTCTCTAGAAATGAAACAAGTAGAGGTGCTATGTTACAAACATTGCTGCCACAACATAGTAGCCACAAAGTATGCCTTGCAGTAGACTGATTGGCTACATTTAAAAAAAATATTATTTGAATTTATAAGTAGCCCTGCTGTAATGGAATCTGGGTGGCATACATCAACTATTGATGGGTGACCAATGAGTAAGGGTTCATTGACATAATAAAAAGCTTTTGGTGATGCCCTTGAAACTAAATCTTTTCAATGGAGAGGAGGAGACTAATAATAGTATAGTTTTATTCATTTTCAAGAATTCTAGGAATTTTTCTTCTTTGCTCATGTTCTAGTTAACCTCGGAGATTTCCAGATGTGAGGGCTTCTTTTATAATTTTCAGCACGGGCCATGTTGACTTGGAAATTCTTGGAGTTGAATCCACACATCTTGAAGTCTCTGAATTGTGGAAAGGTGTTCTAGATTCTTAAAAATGAAGTACAGTTTCTTCTTCAAGTCCATTCTTATATGTGACGTCTGGTTCTGTTTTTAATACTATATATCCAGTATTCTGGATCTAAATTCAGCAAATGTTATTGGTTTACCTCTAATAATCAGTCTGGGTTTTTCTTTATGTGGCACTTGAACTCACATTCAAGTATTAACATCAGTATTTTTGGCCATTTAAGTTTGTATTACTTTTTGCTATACAGTATATGTTGTTCTTTGCTTTATCCAATGTTGACTTTTCTTTTTCCAACAGATTATAGTTGCTGTGTTTGCAAAAACTCAATGCACCATATTGTTATGTGTCTATTATGAACATGGAATGAAATAAAGGCATTTTATCCCTAATTTTTAGTTATTATCTATATAAATTCATATAGGCCTGAAAATTCAGACACAACCCCTCCCCAACCTACACTTTTGTTCTTAATAGCTCCGGTAAATCAGAATGCAGAACGTCTTAATGATATAAGTAGAATAGTCCTAGAGTACATTCATTTGCCACATTCCACTTCTCTCTTCTACATTGTCTTTTCTTCTCTGTTTAATTTTTACATATCACAAATTTAGATGCTGGTCACATACTAAGAAGCTATTTTAGATAGAACAACATGTCTAATGAATAGTTAATAAGATTTTTCCCCCATTTAATTACTATCACAAATGGTTTTTGGGTCGTGAGTTTCAAAACCAAAGTTTTACGTGTTACGGTGCTAGCAAAGGTGCTTTATCAAAAAGGCATAATTAACCATAAACAAACTTCTCAGATTAGAATTCTCTAAGATGAATGGCCTTTCCATCTTGCCCTTCATTAAAGGTTACCAAACTGAAGAATTATGCTGTTTCTTTCAACATCCATCGTATTAGGTATCCCAAAACTATAAATGAAGTTGTATAATGATGGTGATAGTTGAGTAGATAAGCAAGAGGGAAAGAATATTATCCAGATGTAAATGAGATATAATAAAACATAAATATATACAATGCATTTATATTTTTATATGATACAAACCTATTTCTTTCTTTCCAGATTGTGAGCAAGAGCAGCCCCTTTTGTGGCTCCAGACCCTTATGAATGCTTGCAGGCAAGCAAATGATTTTAGTGTCCAAAGCATTACTATTTCTTTAATAATGGACTTAGTTGGATTGACTCAGTCAATTGCTGTGGTCACTGGAGAAAACCGGAATAGTGTAGAACCAGCGCAGCCTCTGAGTCCAAACCAGGGAAGAGTAGCTGTCGTTATCAGACCTCCTCTTAATCAAGGCAACCTCAGATATATGGCCGAAAAGACAGATTTTTTCAAGGTATGGGAGATCATTCATACAATTTTTTTCAATAGTTAAGAGCTGATTTGGAAGTGATTGTGTTTTCAGCATCGAGAACAGTGCAAGTAGTCCTCAATTTACAACAGTTCATTTAGTGACCGTTCAAAGTTACAACGGAACTGAAAAAAGTGACCTATGACCATTTTTCACAGTTACGACCTTTGTAGCATTCCCATGATCATGTGATTAAAATTCAGATGCTTGGCAACTGGTTCATACTTATGACCGTTGATGTGTCCCAAGATTATGTTATCACCTTTTGCGACCTTTTGACAAGCAAAGTCACTTAACAACCAGGTTACTAACATATCAACTGCAGTGATTCACTTAACAAAGGTGGCAAGGAAGGTCATAAAATGGGGCAATACTTAACAAATGCCTTACTTGGCAACAGAAATATTGGACTCAATTGTGGTCGTAAGTCAAGGACCACCTGTATCTGTACCATTAGGTAAACAAATGGTTTTTCTTCCTCGCCCTGTCCTCCCATTTTCCATCAAAACCAGTTTGAGGAACCTCCAGAGCAATTTCTGAGGATTCATGGAGAGCTATGGGAGAAAGGGTCAGGAGGGGAATCAATTATTATTAATGAAGCTGTCCCTTTCCTTGGTAGTGTACAATTTTATTCTTATTTTTTTTCTCCACACTAAAAATCATTACTATTTTACTGAGTAGATTTATCAGAATAATGTTTCTGAGATTCAGTATTAAGTATAATTTTCTAAGAAGTTTAGTTGGAATACAAAACTTTCTAGTTTGAGTTATCATTTTGCAAAGTTTACTTCTTGGGTGAAAAACATATGAGTGAAACTCTTTATTCATTGGGGCTTTTTCTTCCTCTGCTCTCTGAATCGGCAGTGGTGGGATTGTGAAATCCTATTGGGATGTGACATGAGCTGAAGTAGGAGGGAATTGACTTGAATAGATGCTGGATATTTATTATTTGTTTATCTATTTGTATTTCACTCAAGACGTCATACATGAGTATCTTACCATATGCAATCTTTTATCGCATCAACCCTGCTGGAAAAATAGCTAAGGGACAAATGGTTTGTCTGAGTCACTCAGAGAGCTCTATAATTGAGTGAGAACTTCGCCTGATCATGTGTGTTACCTTAGCCATAACATTATGCTGGTTTTAAACCATTGCACACAAAAGTGCCTCCCCCTTGTATAAAAATGCAAGAAGATATTGCATTCAAGCAGAAATATTTAGTGCTTTTTTATCAATACCTAAAATAGAACATCCAAAAAGGATATCACTCAATGGTTATTCTGATGCAACTTTTTAAAAAACCAAATACTGTTATATATGTGACCATTCCGTTTTACTTTCCAAAGCATGTGGCGTTAACTTTATGGGACCAACTGGGTGATGGGACACCCCAATACCATCAGAAGAGTGTGGAGCTTTTTTTCCAGTTGCATAATCTAGTTCCATCTTCTAGCATTTGTGAGGATGTTATCAGTCAGCAGCTGACCCACAGAGACAAGGTAAATCTTTTTTTTTTCTTCTGAATAACCCTCTTCTAATTTCCTTTCCCGTGTTTATTTTCTTCTTGCAACCTTGATTGCTCTTCTAATTTTGTTCTGCTGCACCATTTAGTTTACTTCTTAAATGGATCGTTCGTGTCATTTCTCTCTCTTTTCTCTTCCCTACTCCAGATACTATCTGAATAGTTTTATTCATTGTTTATATCATGGTATGGTCAGTATGAAATAGTTAAAATAATCTAATTTTTTTATGTATGACAAGATCTCGCCCTTCTCATGTGGCAAAGTACTTGCCGTCTGAGCTGAACAGTTTATAGGGTCAGTCTCACAAGGTGGTCGGGATACAATTCTAACATTTTCACTTCAAATTTCTTTCTGAATAATATATTTAGGATCACATACTGCTGAAATGAAATTGTGATAGTTGTTTTTTTTCATTAGGATTAGTGTTAGAGTTGTTTAGAAATGCCTTGATCATTGTTTGGGCAGTTTTCTTCACTTATTGTTGCAACTGATAGGAATCTTGTTTTATTCCTTTATTATTGATTATTATTGTATATCCTGCTTTTCTGAGTTTGAGATGGCAACCATGTTTGTACTCAATTTCTGCAACAATCACTGTGAAGTATGTTCTACTGAAATAGGGTTATTGGTCCTAGCTTATTCAATCTCTAGTAAATTCTATCGTCTAATGAGTCCTGTTATCAAATGAGAGTTGGACTTGGATTGTACCTGTCCAGATCTAGCACATATTTGAGACTCTCATTGTTTTCTGTCTTGGGATTTTAGGTGGGCATTTATTGTATGAGCACCCATCCACCCCTTCCTGTAGGTCTCCATGCACCCTTTGACTGGATCCTCCAGTGACCTTCAGAGCAGGTTTTTGAGGATGCATGAGAGGAAGAATCGGCTCCTAGCTAAATACACTGATATCAGAAATCCTTTCAGCAGAAATGGACCAGTTGAATACTGCGTAGGTCTTAAATTTGTAAAAATAGCTCCTCAACCTTTGGGGGAGGAGATGATGTCATTCTTAAATTTGTATACTGTACCTTCTTCTGCTTCAAAGATAAATTGCTACCTATGATATAGAGTTTTGCTCCTTGCCATTTCATGAAATTGTAATTTTTAAAATTCTTGATGTCTATAGCAAGTAAAAATTCTTTTTTAGTTTCATAGAAGTACAATTGTAAACCACCAACAATGCTCTGGATTGGACAGTCGAAATTATTGTTGCTGTTCTTGTTGTTTTTTCAGACTGATAATGAGGAAAGAAATACACTACAGCTATATTGATTGTTACTTATTTAGATAATTTTCTCCTTTCCCAATTTGATGGATTATATTAAGAGTGAATTTATTTGTCCTTCGTTTTGTAGAAAATCAGAATGGAAGCTCATGCAAAGTTTGCAGTCCTTTGGCATCTTACTAGAGACCTCAATATTAACAAGTCTTCATCATACGGTCGTTCATTTGATAGGTTAGTTACATTGATAGATGAAGTAGAAAATTATTAACTATTATGTAATAAAATCACATATTTTCTGTAATAGCGAGTTCATGCTTATAAAAGTTTCAAGAATAGAATAGTTTTGAAACTTAAAAAAATTCTACACTGATAAATTGATATTGTAGTGAATAAATATTTTTGGGAAAATAACAAAGGATAAAGTTGATGAATAAATTCAGTTTCATCTTATCAGAAATAATATTTATTATTTACATGTTCTTACAGTGTATGGAAGTTTGGCCCTACTTGAAGTAGAAAAGAATCTGCCACAATACCTGTTTTAAAATTGTACCTATTTATGACCTGATAGAGAGATAGAAATAAAATATTTTATGATAAAGCAGCAATGACAGATAAAATGACTTAATCTGATCTAATAGTATATGATCAAAACAATTTCAAAATTCACTTGTAAAGTAGCTATTTAAGTTTTAGAAAATATTTAATATGAAATTAACTATTAGTTGGGGAATAATTTCTGAAAAAAATGTTAACATGGGTAGCCAATTGTGAGGATTTGCTGGTAATTTAACTTCATTGCCTCTCCAACAGTATGATCCTTTACATGAATCTCTTCTATTGGTATTCAATAGATCTGATTCTTTTCTGAATAAGACATAATCTAAGATGTATTGAAAATGTTAATACTGATATTAATACCTCTTTGTCCAGGCAAAACAGTAACATTTCTATATTTTTGAGACATGAATTGTTGCATATCAAAAGACTTTTATTTGGAGTAATTTTTTGTGTAACCGGTTCTAAAAATATTTATAGTAAATTAAATGTTTCTGAAACTGATACTAGCCAATAGAAATGCAAAAATTCAAAATTTGGAAAAACAATTTCCCTTTAATGGAAGATTGCATCTTTTTAAAAGATATGTTCAGATTAAAGATCACCTCATAAAAATTACATCTTTAGAACGTTTTATAGTATGTACACTATATAGGAATTGCATTTATTTTAAGACTATTAACTTTGCCCCTAAAGGTAAGATTTAAAGACTGTCAGCTATTGACTCCAAAAGAGATCTCTTATAATTTTTATTCATATTTCAAGTTTATTGGAAATATAAAAGTCTCAAATATTGCCTTGTCATGTGACATACATCTGGCATATAGAAATGTGCCCAGTGAGTAGTGGAATATAATTTAATTTGTGTTTTAAATTTTGTGTAACATTACATATATTGAATTTCCCTTGAATGAAATTCCCTTTAAAAAAAATAGTATATTTTAATTATTCTCCTAAATAGCCAACTGATAGCCACTGAACATATCTGGAACTTGCCTCTCCTTACTACTGGCTTGACTAATATATTCATTAAGTGATTTCATCCATGAAGTATCTAGTACAGGGCTGTCAAACTTCCAGCCTGCGGGCCAGATGCATCATGCGCTGGCCATGGCCACACCTGGTTTAGCGAAGGGGGGGGAGTCCCAATATGTGACGTGATGACATGAGTTTGACACCCCCCTGATCTAGTAGGTCTGTCCCCATTTCCCTGTTGGAAGGGGCAGGGGAAGCTTTTCACTAGATTAAGGACTTGACTTTGACCCCAAAGAGCACGTGTCATCAGATCAAGAGAATATCTGGCTTTCCCAGCTGGAAAAATTGATCATAACAAGAGTTTCAAAGCTTATATTTTTTTTCTGTTGGCTTATTATTTTAATATGGATTTTTCTCCTCCTCAGATCCTTATTTATCATGCTGGATAGTCTTAACAGTTTAGATGGCTCCACCTGGTCAGTCGGACAGGCCTGGTTAAATCAAGTCCTCCAACGGCATGACATTGCAAGAGTCCTGGAACCTTTGCTTTTGCTGCTTCTCCATCCAAAGACCCAACGTATTTCTGTTCAAAGGGTACAGGCTGAATGGTACTGGAGTAAATCTCCCTATCTGGAAGATGAAAATGAAAAACATTTTATGCAGAAATTTAATAGTAGTGGTTGTAAGTATCACCTCATTAACCACTGATTTATCATGATATCCTCAATTTGGTATTATATTTATATCTTCAATTTTGGTATTATATTGATATAATGTAGCATAAAAGAGCATTTTATATTTTATACTGGTTAATAACAGTTTGTATCATAGTTTTTTAGTTTTATATTAGTATGTTCATTTTGTTTTACATATTGACTTATATAATTGTATAATTTGAACATTTTGGTTATCTGGATTTAAAAAAATACCACAGGGTGTGCAGATGCAAATATGATAATATATAAATAATATCTATTGTAATGCAATATCCTTTCATATCCTTTCACTATTCACACTAGCAGAGTTTTCTGTGGATTTTCCCTTTTTATGTTGGACATTATCTCATTTTTAAAGGAATTTAGATCCAAAGTTCTGCAGATCTTATATCCATAGCAATCAAAGATTTCTCTTTCATTTCAGAAATGAACACTAATATTGTCCCTATTGCAATACTTGAATTTGTCAACAAAGTTTTACTCTGGACTCAAAATACCTAATTTAATGAACCTGTTGGTCTCATATTGCAATATTAACTTTTTAGCTTACACTTTAAAGGTATCTTGCAGAAAAGGGTATTATATGATTTATGCGAATAACTTCTAAATGACTATTCAAATAAGAAAATAGTCATAACCATTTGTTTTCCTTTTTGTTAATAAGAAAAATACTCATAACCACTTGTTTTGCTTTTTGTTAAGCATTCATCACAATGCCATCAAGTCAAGAACATGGGATATCAACTAAAGAGAACATTGAAAAGCAGCTGGGTTTAGACGAAATGGAGAATTTTAGTCTTACAGTCAACCCTTTAAGTGACAGGATCTCTCTCCTGAGTACTAGTAGTGAAACTATTCCTTTGGCTGCCTCTGATTTTGACCTTCCTGATAATCAGATAGAAATAATGCAAAGTTCAGACTCTGGCTGCTCCCAGTCATCTGCTGGAGATAACCTCAGCTACGAAATAGAACCTGAAAGCCTGACTGCCCCAGATAGTTCTCAACATTTGAAAGGAGATGCATTAGATGAAATAATACAGCAAGTGGTCCTTGACCTGATCTGCAAAGTAGTCAAGGAGCTTGCAGAAGATCCACGGTCAGAGAAAGATGCATATCCAGAAGATACTTCAACTACGTTAAATACTCTAGATCCCACTGAAGATGTATCCAAATGTGAAGAACCAAACTTTCTGGACAGCCAGAGTAGTTTGCTTAGCAATGACAGTACTCAGCTACTGTCTGTCTCATCTGAGACTGGACTTGAAAGCATTTCTAATGAAATCTCCAGAAACAGTTCGTCACCCTGCATCTCAATAAGCCAGCAGTCTCTCAGTGACCAAACTTTCACTTCCCCAGAAGAAAAGTCAAGGCAGCAAAATCATAGTAGCATCCAATTCAGCTTCAAAGGGAAATTGCCCGAAAAAATGTCAGAAAAGGAAACCATTGTGAAAGAATCTGGGAAACACCCAGGAGCAAAGCCCAAAGTCAAAATAGCAAAAAGGAAAGACGAAGAAAAGAAGAAAGCACAAGCTGAGAAGCTGAAGCAAAGCAGTGTTTTCTTCAGCGATGGCCTTGACTTGGAAAATTGGTATAGCTGTGGAGAGGGTGAAATCTCGGAAATTGAGAGCGATGCAGGGTCACCGGGGGCGCGGAAATCTCCCAATTTTAACATACACCCTTTATATCAACATGTCTTATTGTACCTCCAAGTATATGACTCCTCGAGGACTCTGTATTCTTTCTCTGCCATTAAAGCAATCTTGAAAACCAACCCTTCTGCTTTTGTAAATGCCATTTCCACCACCAGCGTCAATAATGCCTACACCCCCCAGCTTTCCTTACTTCAGAATCTCCTGGCCAGGCATCGCATATCAGTCATGGGCAAAGACTTTTACAGCCACATCCCAATAGACTCAAACCACAGTTTTCGAAGTTCCATGTACATCGAGATCCTTATCTCTCTCTGCTTGTATTACATGAGGAGCCACTATCCGACTCACGTGAAAGTCTCTTCGCAGGACCTGATCGGGAATCGTAACATGCAAATGATGAGCATCGAAATCTTGTCCCTTCTTTTTGCCGAGCTGGCAAAAGTGGTGGAGAGCTCCACCAAAGGGTTCCCCAGTTTCATTTCGGACATGTTGTCCAAATGCAAGGTCCAGAAGGTGATCCTGCACTGTTTGCTGTCCTCTATCTTCAGTGTCCAGAAGTGGCACAGTGAGAAAATGGCGGGCAAAAACTTAGGGGCTGTTGAAGAAGGCTTCTCCGAAGACAGTCTAATCAACTTTTCCGAGGACGAGTTGGATAATGGTAGCACACTCCAGTCACAGCTTTTAAAAGTCCTCCAGCGGCTCATTGTTCTGGAGCACAGAGTGATGACCGTGCCTGAGGAGAACGAGGCAGGCTTTGATTTTGTGGTAACCGACTTGGAGCACATCAACCCTCAACAGCCAATGGCTTCCCTGCAGTATTTACACTCCCAGCCCATAACCTCCCAAGGCATGTTTCTTTGTGCTGTAATAAGAGCATTACACCAGCATTGTGCCTGTAAAATGCATCCCCAGTGGATAGGATTAATCACTGCTTCTCTGCCTTACATGGGGAAGGTGCTCCAAAGAGTGGTGGTTTCGGTGACCCTACAGCTTTGCAGGAACCTGGATAATCTGATTCAGCAATACAGATATGAAATGGGCTTATCCGACAGTAGGCATGTATTTTCCTTTCTCTTTTTTTCCTCTTGGCACTTTTTTTTAAAAGGGAATTTTGTATGTACATTGCAAAATTGCAACAGATTCATTGTTGTTTTTAGGCCTCTTTGGATGGCATCGGTTACTCCACCAGATATGATGCTCACTCTTTTGGAAGGTATCACAACAATTATTCATTATTGCTTACTTGACCCATCCACGCAGTATCATCAGGTAAACCACCTTAGATTTTTCAGTTTTCCCCCCCAGCTATCAGTGTGCTCTGATTTGTCGTCTGCCCTCACTAATAACTTGTTTCAACCTGTGCATGGACCCTAGGAAATAACTCTTGAAATAGATAACATTATTTGGCATATTCTGAACTCTTTATGTATATACCATTGATTATGTATGTGCAATTTATTACTACGTTGCGAGATCTTGATCTCACACCTAATATTACAAGAGCAATTTTCATTTACATTTTGGGTATAACTAGCGTAATGTAGTGAATACGGTTTGATATTAAAGGATTCTTTTATGAATTACAAAATTTGAGACGCTAGGTTTTGGAATTGTTGAACCCAATTTCAATCTTTAATTGAAACTGAATCCAGAATTTCAGTAAATTATGAACAGATTAGACATGTTTTCTCTTGATAAGATCTGCTTTGATTTGGAGGAAGTACTTCATTTTGCAATTTAAACTTGATAAAAATTATTGTTAGAATTGTATCGCATCTGTATCCGATCAGATCTTTGAAACTAATTTCAAACTATCATTACAAATTGGTCTGAAAATGATCCTGGTTAGCAGCGTAATTCAGTGATGGTTTAATGTTGCCTGAAACAGAATTGGGGGGGAGGGGACTAGGTGGGAAGAGAGTGCGAAAAGGGAACAGAAATCCTGTAAATTAATATCCCTGATGATAATTGATTATGTCTTCATCTTCCTTTTTACTAGCTTCTGGTTAATGTAGATCAGAAGCACATGTTTGAAGCACGCAGTGGGATCTTGTCTATCCTTCACATTATCATGTCCTCTGTCACACTTTTGTGGAGCATCCTGTACCAGGCAGACTCTTCAGAGAAAACAGCTGTTGCAGCAGCTGCATCTGTAACCACAATTAATCTTGGGTCAACAAAGGTTAGAACATCAGAGTTATGTGTACAAATGATTTTATGTAATACTTGAATAACAGAGCCAGTTTGGTATACTGGTTAAAAATGTCAAACTGGAGACAGGAAGTTCTGAGGCTAGAACTCAACACAAAGCTGACTGAATGACTTCAGGCAAATCACTCTCCACTCTAGGAAGAAAGCAAGGGCAAATGGCTGCTGAAAAATCTTGTCTGGAAAACTCCAGGGACTTCTACCAGGAGTCAAAAATCTGCCTTGAAGGCACACACATATTTTGTTTTTAATCCTTGAATAATCAGCTCCAGGATCTTGACAGGATCACAACATTTAATCATTCTTCCAGAAAACATCTAATGTCTGTATACTATACAATATAGGTTGTGTATATACAAGAGAGGACCTTGTACTACCAAATGATTTTTAAAAATGGGATTTTTTCCCCCCATTTCTAAAACAGTTGTAAGATAACCTACATAGTAGACCCATTTATAGGTTGGTGTTAATATGTTTGATCAAATAGCCCCTATAGGCAAAACTTCCCCCAGTTCCATATAAAGACCTTTATGTTTCAATGGCTACAAAAGCTAAAAGTATATATGCAAAAAATGCCACTGGCACATTTCACCAATAAAGGAGAATATTTGTAGCTCGGGGTTGAAATGAGTCCTTGGTGATCTCTGAGCTTGGTTGTTTTCTTGCAGACGTTCCCTTACCTAAAGGACGAGCACTGCTGATGTTACATAGTTTTCGTAATGAAATGTCTGCAAGAAAACAACCAAGCTCGAAGAGCATTAGACATTTCACCAAACTATATTTGTGTTAACCACACTTTACCAATACAATAATGATTTGAGCATAAAAATCACTGTCATGGTTTTAATTCTGTTGTACACTTCTACTTTCTCGTGGTGTCTTTTTTATAGGAACAAATAGCAATAGCTTTTTTTTTTTTAGGTGTCATATCAAAATACAATGCAAAACGTATTGCCAGCTGTCTTTTTTCTGATCCTGATTTATTTCTAACTGCAGGACATAATTGTTCATTAGGACTTCATGTCACATCATGGTTAAATTTTCTTAAGTATATTTTCAGGAGGCATTTGGATTGTGCCAGAAAATTCATCAGATTTGCATAGCAATAAAGAATTCAAGGCTTTTTAAAAAAAAGTGCACAAAAATAGCTTGCCCTAAAAATATTTTCCTCTCTCATGTTCCAAAAGAGAAATGGTCCAAATTACATTTCTCAATATTTTCTTTCATTGTATAATTGTATATTGCTCTGGATGAGCTGTTAGGTTCTTGTTTTGTTTTGCTTTACATTTAGTATACTTTGTGTATTACAGAATTTAAGGCAGCAAATTCTTGAATTACTTGGTCCAATTTCAATGAACCATGGTGTTCACTTCATGGCAGCTATTGCATTTGTGTGGAATGAAAGGAAACAAAATAATCAAGCTTCAAGGACTAAGGTAGGTTAACTGATGGACTTGTTTAAAATGAGTTCAGCTTAAGAATTTCCCGAGTTTTATTTAGTAGGCTTATTTAGCTTTATTTGTTTATTTAGCTTAGTACACAAATTGAGATACTGTGCCATACTAAAATAAGCATTGTTTGTGATCTCTGGATATGAAACTACAGTATGAATCTGATGGGGTTCACTGAACTGGTGTTAGGACTGCAGTTACTGAATACAATCAAATGCATTACAGTAAAGTTTCTTCTCTTCGCTAGGTCTATACCAGGGGTCTCCAGACTTTGCCATTTTAAGACTTGTGAATTTCAACTCCCAGGATTCCTCAGCCAACATGGTTGAAGTCCACAAGACTTAGAGTTGCCAGGTTTGGAGGCCCCTCGTTTATACCACCCAACCCAAACAGCTAGGATAGTGCCACTTCTTGATGCCACAAGTATTTGCTTCCATTAATCTTGCATTATTTTAAAAAAAGGAAAATTCCTTCCTCTTTTTATGACTTGAGAAATGTCAGGATATTTAGAGATAGTCAGTGACAGCCAGCCTGAAGAACTCTTACAAGACACAAAGAGACAAAGATGCCAACTGCCAGAAGACTCACAGAATAAAGGGAATTCTGTTACAGAATGCCACAGAAGTGAGTGAAGTTGTGCTAAAAAGAAAAACTGGCTGTCTGGTGAAACAACGAAATAGAAAAGACTACAAGTGAGAAAAATGCATGTAAGAGAATGACTGCTTCAAAAAATTAAGATGAGAGAAAAGTGTTGTATAAAGTGTGTTTAAAGAAAAAATTGTTGCAAAAAATGCACAGAAAGATAGCCAGAAATTAAGAAAAGACAAAATACGGAATTATTTTGATGGAATAAAATTTTTGTTTTGGGAGTGGGTGAAAAGGATTAAGCAGGGAACTTCTAGAGGAATGAACTACAGGTGAAACTCGAAAAATTAGAATATCGTGCAAAAGTTCATTTATTTCAGTAATGCAACTTAAAAGGTGAAACTAATATGTGAGATAGACTCATTACATGCAAAGCAAGATAGTTCAAGCCGTGATTTGTCATAATTGAGATGATTATGGCTTACAGTTCATGAAAACCCCAAATCCACAATCTCAGAAAATTAGAATATTATGAAAAGGTTCAATATTCTAGGCTCAAAGTGTCCCACTCTAATCAGCTAATTAAGCCATAACACCTGCAAAGGGTTTCTGAGCCTTTAAATGATCTCTCAGTCTGGTTCAGGAGGAAGCACAATCATGGGATAGGCTGCTGACCTGACAGTTGTGCAGAAAACCATCACTGACACCCTCCATAAGGAGGGAAAGCCTCAAAAGGTCATTGCCAAAGAAGCTGGATGTTCCCAAAGTGCTGTATCAAAGCACATTAATAGAAAGTTATGTGGAAGGGAAAAGTGTGGAAGAAAAAGGTGCACAAGCAACAGGGATGACCGCAGCCTGGAGAGGATTGTCAGAAAAAGGCCATTCAAAAGTGTTGGGGACTTTCACAAGGAGTGGAATGAGGCTGGAGTCAGTGCATCAAGAGCCACCATACACAGACAATCCTGGACATGGGCTTCAAATGTCATATTCCTCTTGTCAAGCTGCTCCTGAACAACAAACATCAGAAGCGTCTTACCTAGGCTAAAGAAAAACAGGCCTGGTCTGTTGCTCAGTGGTCCAAAGTCCTCTTTTCTGATGAGAGCAACTTTTGCATCTCATTTGGCAACCAAGGACCCAGAGTCTGGAGGAAGAATGGAGAGGCACACACTGCAAGATGCTTGAAGTCCAGTGTGAAGTTTCCACAGTCTGTGTTGATTTGGGGAGCCCTGTCATCTGCTGGTGTTGGTCCACTGCTTCATTAAGTCCAGGGCCAATGCAGCCGTCTACCAGAGATTTTGGAGCACTTCATGCTTCCTTCCGCAGACGAGCTTTATGGGGATGCTGACTTCATTTTCCAGCAGGACTTGGCACCTGCCCACACTGCCAAAAGCACCAAAACCTGGCTCAATGACCGTGGGATTACTGTGCTTGATTGGCCAGCAAACTTGCCTGACCTGAACCCCATAGAGAATCTATGGGGCATTGCCAAGAGAAAGATGAGAGACATGAGACTGAACAATGCAGAAGAGCTGAAGGCCGCTATTGAAGCATCCTGGTCTTCCATAACACCTCAGCAGTGCCACAGGCTGATAGCTTCCATGCCATGCCGCATTGAGGCAGTAATTGCTGCAAAAGGGGCCCAAACCAAGTACTGAGTACATATGTATGCTTATACTTTTCAGAGGTCCTATATTGTTCTATGTACAATCCTTGTTTTATTGATTGCATGTAATATTCTAATTTTCTGTGATTGTGGATTGTGGATTATGTAAGCCATAATCATCACAATTATGACAAATCACGGCTTGAACTATCTTGCTTTGCATGTAATGAGTCTATCTCGTATATTAGTTTCACCTTTTAAGTTGCATTACTGAAATAAATGAACTTTTGCACAATATTCTAATTTTTCGAGTTTTACCTGTAAATTTAAAAAGTGTCAAATGATTCAAGATGAACTTTAGAATGAGAGGTGTTGGAAGGAGATTTATATTGGAATAACATTGATATGTTGAATTATGGAGAAAAAAATGAATGCTATAAGTGGTATTGTTGAAAAAAGAAAATAATGCTGCGAAAATTTTGAAAAATGTATGAAATCGCTAGTCTTAAATAAATTAATAAAAATGTGGGTATGTCAGAAAGTTTATTATATGCTTGCTGGTTTAGAGAAAGTATTACAATAAAGTGAAAGGAGTAGAATTATGAGTAAAACTGGAGTTGAAGGTTGGTTTTTAAGGAAGGTACATGATGGAAGTAATGCATTTGTGAGAATATAGGTGTGTAAAAGTAATGCAGCCAATTTGGCTACATGAACAAATATCCAACTTTTTAAAAATTAATGTATAGTTCTTTGCTTTTAATCCAAGTGGTCTCAAAATGCCAATTCAGCCATTGATGCAATGTTACATATCAGTAGTGTTTATACCAGAGTAAGGTGACATATGGTTACAGCCTAATTCTTATAAGTGATTTTGAAATGGTTGAGACTTGACTCTCTGAGATTCAATGCAGTGGTGGCATTTTACTTATCAGGTGATTCCTAGTGCCAGTGAAGAACAGCTGCTGCTAGTGGAGCTAGTTCGTTCCATCAGTGTTATGAGAACTGAAACTGTAATGCAAACAGTGAAAGAAGTCCTAAAGCAACCACCAGCTATTGCCAAAGACAAGGTATGACACCAATAACAATATTTTAATGGTTCACACAATTTAAGTACAGGTAGTCCTCATTTACCAACCACAATTGGGACTAGTGACTCAGTTGTTAAGTAAAATGGTCATTAAGTGAAGAATCGTATGATTGCAACTGTGCTTAGGCTTTTACTTCAACTTTGTTTTACAGCATCAGAAGGGTGCAACCCCATGTATCTGAGTGAAATCCAAAGACCAGGGAAGGTTTCCATAATTCGACTCATAAGGAAGCTGGATAAAAGGACAAAACTTAGAGCCCTTTTCCCCCCCCCCCCCACTTCCCTTTGGAATGCTGTGAAAAAGAATGCAAGAAAAGACTTGATGTTTGTAGTTAGGTTTATTGGAGAGGAAAGGATTACAAGAGAGTAGCAGGCACACAGTGAGGAATACACATCAAAAGGAAAGCGTCAGCACCGGCTCTTTGCCTAATGGGCTTCTAGCTGCCAGCTACAAACTGTTTTGGAAGAAAACCTTTAATGTGAAACTGATTATAGAGTTGTTAATTTCAGGCAGCAGCTGGGAAAATTCTAATCAATTAATTAAGGTCACAGAACTGATCTTGCTATCTCCTTAGCACTTTCTAGGGTTGCACTATAATGTGGAGAAAAGCAGTGCAGGAAGAGATCACTTGTTTAGGCAATTTCTCTGTTCTGCAAGGTGGGGAGGTAGAAAGTAACAGATCAGGCACAGAATAACATGTACCAGCTGTATTGGTGAGCACCTAACAGAGAGATGCTGCAAAGCTTATAAATGTGGGCATTGGTGGCAAAGTAAGTTTTTCATCAGTGTTGTAATTGCAAATAGTCACTGTCTGAGTCACTGTCTCTAAACAAGGACTACTTTCTTTCTAAATAATTTATTTAAATAAAGGAACTGGAGAGGCTTTTCTCTTGCCACAAGGATGGCTATACTGTGTTAAAAAATTTATGGTAAGAACTTTCCTTCTAGTTAAACGGAGCACTGTTTTTGGTTCTGTTTTAACTGATAATACATACACATGTAATTACTCACAACTTTCAGCACTCCTGTGTGGATACTCAATTGCTACATACTTCCTTACAGATTGACCTCTCATTCTGTTATTGTTTGAAGTTATAACAAGTGTTAGTTACAACCACTTATTTAAGTTCCAGTTGTAACAGTGCCCCTACAGTCACAAAATTGCAATCTGGGCATGGGCAGATTTCTGACACCACCTCATCTGTGGTCATATGGTCGCAATTTGCTAACTTCCCTGTCAGCTTCCAAGCGTTGTCACTTAGCAGTGTAAATACCAGTCCCAATTACTGTTGTTAAACGACATAAAATGATTTTAATTAAACTTTATATTAGTTTTCTTGTAATTAATTAGTTTAATTGCTATTGTAGCTACTGCTCCTTGCGTTAAAAATGTATTAATGAAGAATAAAGAACCGTTTGTTTTTGTGTTTTGTAAGGAAAATGGGTATTATTTTAAAAACAATATTATTTTGAGATGATCATGGTTCTTCCAGTTTTCATAAAACTCTGACTCTGTTAATAGATATAATTCTCCCTTTGTCTTTCCCCTGAGAAAATTGTCTGTTTTTGAAAGAATACAGTGATTTCTAAGCCCATTTTTCTGTGGACAAAATTAATGTTCCAGCTCCAGAAAAAGAAGAAACTAATGGAAAAATCTCTTTAAAATATTCATAATTACTCAGACATTTTCTTCCATTCAAATGTGACAAAATTGTGCTGATTTAAAAAAACAGTCACAGCAAAATTAGTTATCTTTTAATTAGAGAATTGACAGCTACTTGTAGACTTGAACAGTAATGTGTATTTCTTAACTTTTTTTTAACAAAAATCTAGAAGCATCTTTCATTGGAAGTCTGCATGTTGCAGTTTTTCTTTGCATACATCCAGAGGTAGGTTTCCTATTCTAACATTCCTTTCAACACAGTAGTATCGAATTATTTTAGAATGTCACATTTGCTCAACAGTTCTGTTGAAGTCAGAGAACGCTGAGACATTTGATTAAAGTATTAAGGAAGGAATTGAACTTCCAAATTCCAGATTTTAGAATATTAGACACTTGTTTAAAAATCAGAACGTCCATCTGACTAAGGAGCTTCGTGTGTTTCCTCCTTTGTTCTGTATGCTGACTTTGCACTTGGATCATTAACTGTAAAAGTACCTTAAAACAAGTATGGCAACATCATTTCATTAATTCAACCCTAGACAGCCCTTCTAAACATAATAAAGAAAATCCTTTGGATATGATTATGTAACTTTTTCCTTCCTGTAGAATCCCAGTCTCCAACTTAGTAGACAGCTGGGCCTCTTTGCTGCTCCTTCTAAAGGATTCCATACCACTCGGCCTTCCAGCTCCAGGGCAGTTTCTAATACTTGGGTGAGTCATTCTTTGACCATAGACGGAGTTGCTTGTTTTTTTCCCTTTTGAAAAATTCCAGGCAAAAGTAGCCGCTGTTGAAAAATCTAGCAGAGGTGTTGGTCTTTTGTATTGAAAATTAGATCAATACTTAATACTGAGTACAGTTTTTAGTCTTCCAGTTGTAGGAAGGACTAGAAACTTTCAAGTCATTTGAAATCTTGCAAATGCCATGGATACCCTTATCACTAGGGTCAACTCTAGTAGGAACCTTTCCAACGTTTAAAGTGAGAATGGCATGGCTGCATCTTGTTGCTCCTTTAGCTTAAGGCCAGTTCAATTTCATGAGTTTAAATATGAGCTGAAAGCATTTTTCATAGCAGCATGCAGAAATCAAAAATAGTGCTAGTCAGAATTGATTAAAGACCAGCTCTTTGAAAACATATTATTTAAGGAGTAATATTTTATCAGGTTATCCCAACCTTTGCCAAAAGTAAGGAAAGATTGAGAACCACTGGATTAAGTTATAAAAACGTATGCCCCGATTTATTGCTAAAACCAATCACAGCATCTTTTCTTAGGATACACAGTAGCTTCTTAAGGAAGTCCAAGATTGGAATCTAAAGGGCTATAAATATGATCTTTGGCTTAACCCTTGCTGTCTTTCCACAAACCTTCCCTTCTATCCATAGGCTTCTGAAACCTCGCTTCCCTTGAAATCCCTCTTTCTAAAACTTGAAACAAGAAATTTATGTTTTCCTTTTCTTTCTTTTTCTTTTAAAGTGTGTTAAATGAGTTTATTATGAAAAATCCAAATCTGGATAATAAGAAGGACCAGAGAGATCTACAGGTAAGAAATCTATAGAAATAGCTATTATTGAACTCAAGTATGATATGAAAAAGAATATAAAGTCTGGAGGCTAATTATCAAGAAAATACTTGTTTTGTTTTTCTCACCCTGATCACTCTGATACTTTAAATCCTGAATCGCTGTTGGGTTCTCTTTTTCAGAATAGCTATCGTCTGTCATAACATGTGAGCTATGCTGATGCAGATTTTTTGGTTTGGTTTCAATTTGATATGCCAGTTGATTTTGTTTTAGGGAAAAAAAACTATGTGTCAATGACATTGTCAAAGCCTCAGTTAGATTTATGTATATTTCTAGTTTACTGTGCCACATGCTGGGTTTTCACAACTTATTGCGTTGGTTCCCTTTAGAGAGTTTCAGACACTTTAAATCTCTGAAGCATTTAATATTCATAATTACATTAGATTTTGTAATTCGAAATAGAGGCTCGGGATGTCACCAGGAGCACATAATGGCATTCCACAAAGGACAGTATTATCTCACTTGAGATTATTCATTACTTCTGAAGAAAAGAGAGACATGTATTAAATCAAGGTGTAATATGTATTATTCATAAGAACTTTTCTTCTACTTCTGTTTATCTGCCACCTCACCAGGATGTAACACACAAAATAGTGGATGCCATTGGGGCAATTGCAGGCTCATCCCTGGAACAGACTACCTGGCTGAGGCGAAATTTAGAGGTTAAGCCTTCTCCCAAAATAATGGTTGATGGAAACAACCTGGAGTCTGATGTGGAAGGTGATTTTTACATTTTTGTTGTTGTTGTTGTTCATCTAAAGATCTGACTGGAATTACAAAAGCTTGAACTAAATATGTGGAGCAGGAGCGTTGTCATTAAAATAATCTAATCACTAGTGAGTATGACATGGTTGCGTCTTTGCAAACAGCATTTCTTTCTTTTTCATGTGTTTAATTTAGATATGTTGTCTCCAGCTTTGGAAACCTCAAGCATAACTCCATCAGTGTATAGTGTCCATGCCTTAACACTATTGTCAGAAGTAAGTGTTTTTGTAGTTTTTGATTTTATACATAATGCAATGACAGATAAAACATTACACATTTCTTTGTGTGAAATGATGCCAAAGGATAATTGTGCTTAGTCCTACAATCATTAGAATAATTATATGATTTCATTCCAAATCACTCCTATAACTGTGATTAAAAGTTAATTGTTTCTGTTTTAAAGAAGCTAGCTATAGAAACCATGATTGAAGTTGATTTAATTGAAACCAAACATAAAAAAAGTAAAATCTTCTTTGACTCAAACTCATTTTTTGGTGGCTTCATGAGTATGCCCATGTAATTTCCTCAGCAGTGGTTGGAAGTGACTTGCTTCTGCCTTCCAGTATTTTTTGTAATTTCCCAGTCTAGCCTATAGCTCTGGCATTTCGGTCTTCATCCAAGAAAAGGGGTTGGACAAGAAACTCTCCTTGTGACAAGAACTGATCAAATCCAATCCTGCTTAGATTTTAAGCCCATGCAAGTTATGGATGGTTTGGTAGTTGAGATAGCACAACAACATACTTTAATGCTAGCAGAATCTAAAGTATAGATTTGGGAAACAGAGTTTCTTTACATCTTCCACGTTTTCAAAATGTTTAACATATCTGGTATCTTCTCTAAAATGTATTTACAACACATTTCCAAGCTTTGTAAGTACATTCTCATCTTTATAAAGCAATGCAAGAAAAAAATTACATATTAGGGACTAATTTAGGTTAGTGCCATGTCTGTAGGTATATAATTGTCTATTCGTTGACATGAAAATGGAGTAGACTTTTACATCACCTGTCTTGTATTTATGACTTTATACATTAATTCACATTTTGAAGTGTGTGTGTAAAATCTTGGAAATCATCCTTTGCTGTGTTTTTATGGAAAGAATTAAAACATTTTAAACAGTAACTGATAGATTGATAAGGAAAGTTGTGATGTTTTTCCTGTCCTGTTTTAGGTTTTGGCTCATCTTCTAGACATGGTTTTCTATAGCGATGAGAAGGAAAGAGTTATTCCTCTTCTTGTAAATATAATGCACTACGTTGTGCCTTATCTTCGCAACCACAGGTATCTTTGCAACGTACTACAAAAAGTCCTACAGTCCCCCTTACCCCATATTTTGTCCTGCTCCTCTAATCCAGAAATAAATAAATATCACACGTGGCCCCAAGATGAGCAGAGGAGCAGTGCAGAAGAAAGGAGGAAGCAAGGGAGGGAGGAGCTATTGGTGACAAGCCATAGCGGACAGTGCTGCTATGCATTTTATCAGCAAAAGTAATTCTGAAATCATGTAAAGCTGGTAGTCTGGTGTTTCCAGATTATTTTTCACAGAAAAAAATCTATATTTATAGTAACTTGAGATGGGGGGGGTTCTTCTTCCAGTGCCCATAATGCGCCCAGTTACCGAGCCTGCGTCCAGCTCTTGAGCAGTCTGAGTGGCTATCAGTATACCAGGAGAGCGTGGAAGAAGGAAGCTTTTGATCTCTTCATGGATGCCAGTTTCTTTCAGATGGATGCTTCTTGCGTGAATCAGTAAGGCCTGCTGTTGCTCTTCTTTGAAACCAGTATTCGGGAAATAAAACTAAATATTCCTATGAAACAATAAACAGAAACCTGATGACCTGCGCATCTTTCTCGTCCACTTATAAACCCTGTTTTGGTGGGAGCATAATAATGAGCTGCTCATCTATTTAAGATTGTTTTTTTTCTGGAAGCAGCTAATTAGGATCTTAGATGAGTATTTCCTTATAGTCACATGATCTCATTTATTTATTTATTTTGCTGTAAACCAACATTTACTTCCAGTTTTTGGCAAAACCAGCCCATAGTGGACAATTGGTTGGCTTAATGACTGCAGCATTCACTTAACTGCCGCTGCAAAAAAAGGTTGTAAAATTGGGTTAGTCACATGGGTAACTTGTTTTATGACTGTCATGACTGAGGGCTGGAATGGGCAGACTTGTAAATTGAACACTACTTGTATGCTTGGGTACCTTATCTCCTATTCACGATTGCCAAAACCTTAACTTTGTACAGTCCAGTATGTTTTTCTGATACACAGTGCCAAATTCTGAGAATGTTGTAACAGTCATTCTTTCTTTTTGTTTAACCAAAAATAAAATACTATGCTTTTATTAAAAAAATATTATCATGTTTTTCTTCTTATACTAGTTGGAGAGCCATTATGGACAATTTGATGACACACGACAAAACCACTTTTAGAGATTTGATGAGTGAGTCTAACTTTTTTGCTCTGTGTAAGATCTACGGTTAATTTTTGAGCTGTGAAGTTTGGCTCCTTTGATGCTCGTGCAACAGTCTAGTTCAAAACTAAGTTAGGAAGCAAGTATTGTGGTGATAGTTGCTACAAATTTTCCTTCCCTTGAAAAGTTAGAAACTTGATTGAGCATTCACTATAAAGTTATATTAATTTCCATCCATTGCCCAATTAATTATTGCCATTTGACTGTGGGTATTTGATACTCTTATTATATATAAGACCATGAGCAGTATCTAGGCAATGATTTAAAGTGTTCTGATTAGCAACATTCATGTAATACCTAAAATGATCTTCAAAAGGCTTCTCTCTCTCCCAAAGCATTGACAAAATTGCACCTTTTCTTTTTTAGCTCGTGTGGCTGTAGCTCAGAGCAGTTCCCTCAACCTGTTTGCTAATCGGGATGTTGAACTAGAACAGCGTGCTATGCTCCTGAAGAGGCTGGCCTTTGCCATTTTTAGCAGTGAAGTGGATCAGTATCAGAAATACCTTCCAGATATACAAGGTAATTCCAGTCAAGCTTGTAACTTCATGAATAAAAACCATGGAGTTTTATTGGCAACATTACACAAGTAGTTTGCCCTTGTCATCTTCCAGGATATGTGTGTGTATGTAAGCACATTTTAATTTCATATCTATCTTACGACATTGATATTCTTTGATAACTTCCATCCAAATACCAAACAGGTCCAAGTCTACTTAACTTCTTATCCCAGACAAGATCAGCCATGTGCTGCTACTTGCTTAGGCAATGTGGGATAAATAAAACTCTAAAAGGCTTCATTCCAGCTGGTCACTAAACCAAGGCGAATGGATTTCCTTTTCTATTCACAAATCTGGTTCAAGTGAGTTTGAAGACTTTTGAGGCCAGGGGAGCCCAGACCAGGAAGGGGAAATGCATTGCTGCTTTTCTAACGCAATTCATCTCTTGGCCAAAAAAAATTTTTAAAGGCAAATTTGTCTTATGGAGCAAAGTGTCCTGAATCACAGTTTTAAGTTTGTTGTCTTTCTGCCTCCTAATTTAGATAAGTGAGTATTTAAGCTTGGCTAAAATCTGATGCATCTCTTTGACATGTTCCACTCTCTATGCTACTGCGTGAAATTAATTTACATCATTAAATGTAGATTCTTAATGGATTAGAGATATTTGAAACAGGTTGCAGCTCTGGATATCAGCTGTGGTTGTTTTCTGACAGATCCTTGTAACCTTTTCTGTTTTAGAAAGACTGGTTGAAAGTCTCCGCCTGCCCCAAGTGCCTACCCTCCACTCCCAAGTATTCCTGTTTTTCAGAGTTTTGCTTTTAAGAATGTCTCCACAGCATCTTACCTCACTTTGGCCTACCATGATCACAGAACTGGTGAGTATCCACAATTGGGCAAAGAAGACCATTTTTTAAGAAGAACTAAGAATTTCTCCATATTGGTTTTAAGCTACAGGAGATTGTGAAAGATAACAACCCGTAAGTTCATTTCCAAACTTCACTCGAAAGCTTGGATTACATATTGTTCCTGTATACACAGAGTGGCTTCTATCATCAATCATCTTTGCCTAAGTTTATATTTGTTTTTGCATATGAAAGACATTGTCACCTAGCTGGTAGCAATCACCCATAGCTGTGGTTATTTATACAACAGATTTACACTGATAATCCAGTTACCACAACAGATTGCTATTGCTATTGGCAGCCTAAAAATAAGACTAGATCAGACCCGAATCTCAGAGTTCACAAGGCCTTTCCCAGATGGATCTGGAAAGCAGCAAGTCATGAATGCCATTAGCTGTTGTTATCCAATTCTTCTGCCAAGGAATGCAAGAAGCACATGGTCTTCACAGTAAGACTATCCAGCCTTATTTTCCCCTGAACCTGGGCTTCTGCTTCTTCTTCTGCTTCTTCTTCTTTTCCCTCCTGTCTCTCCTAGGATGTTTTTATCGATGTACTTCCTTTGTTATTATAGAATTGAGCCATTTCTATATGGATCCAATCAATATCAAAATGATTACATTATCTTAACATTTATGTTCTGCTTTCCCGAGTTGAAGGCAGCTTTGCCAGGTTCCACTTTCTGCTCATTTTATGCCCACAAGAACCCTGTGCAATGAGTGTGTCGAGTGACCGACTGATCTAACACCCCCCCAGTGAGGTCCTGTCAATAAGAAAGGGCTTGAACTGAGCTCTCAGTACAGTATCTAACCATTGTGCCTATACTTGCTGTCAGGATAAGCATGGAGCTACAAATGATCAAATATATGTTCTTCCTCTTTTGTGAAAAAGGGATGCTAACCAGGCATCATTTTTTGGTGCTTTTATACCATTAAACAGAACACAACTGTGAATTTGAGCAGTCAGAATGTTAAACATTGCCCAGTTCATCTCTTGCACAGCTTGACTTGATCTTCAAGGTAGCACAGACATTTGCTTTCCAAGGGCTGCCTTTCACAACTGAGGACATGTAGGGTTGCATTGAACGGGGCAATGATGTACAGTGGTTTAGTGGTTGACATTATATTTAACACTGATATCTTTCTTTAGTATCCCAAATATGGAAAGGCAGAATATAATTTTTCCCTGTTTATAAACAATACATGTGCTTTATTCTTTTTCCCTTCACAGGTCCAAGTATTTTTACTTATGGAACAGGAGCTCACAGCTGATGAAGATATCTCAAGGTAAAGTTACTGTGATTTGCTCATTCTTGTTTGCATAGTAAATTAAATGTTATTGAAGGATATTCTGATATTTTATGCTAAATAGGTGGAAAAAACTTTTCCATCCAGACTGAATAACATAATCTGTGCTAATAATAAACCACAATAAAGAAGTCCTTCATCCCATTTACACATTATTTAACCAAATCTGACTCGTGCCCAGATTACAGGAGCCTCCTGTCACAAACATCAAGTTATTTTTAGCCAAGGATCCTGTGTTATAAAATGAGGAAGAAAAGATAATAAATTGAAATGTACTTATTATACTTATTTGTGTTCTTTGCTAAGATTATAATAAGCAAGGCGAAAGCCAGCTGCGTAATGGGAATTTTTTTTTCTGTCTGGTTTAAACTCTTCTGCAGATTGCTATGCACTGATGATTCAGAGCCATATTCAAAGTCTGAGCATTAGCAGTTTTGTCAAGAGTTTGTACTTGCTTGCCCTCTTGCCTGTCTTCCCCAGAAACAGAAATAGTCATGCAGCCAACATAAACACATATTCCAAGTACAATTTATGGTTTTATTTTGCATTTTAATAAGAATTTGGGAGTAATTCCTCCCACTTCCTACCACTGAGCCGTTTTGATTCGTTTTGCTTGGCTGCTGATTTGTGGAGTCTTTTCTTTCCTATACAGATCCAAAACCTTGTCTGTGACTTGCTGCTGCTGCTTCTGGCACTCCTATAGTTTTGAACAAATTAGTAGACAATTACCCCTTTGGTTTGAGCTTATGATGTTTAAGCAGATAGTTGCCAGTCTTAAACTATTTCATTGAGCCACCATTTCTTTATTCATTTGTTCCCTTCTCATTTTATTAATTTGCAAGTTCATCTGCCTTGGCAGTGGTTGACCTTTCTTCATTTTGTGAACTCCTTTCCCGTATGTTCAACTGCAAGTGATATACCAAGATTCATTTATCAGTAGTATTTAAAGCTGATTTACTCGAAGGAAAGTTCAAATATAACATAGACTTACTAATTTTGTAAGGAAAATACTGTTATAACGTAAGGTCAATATTCATTTGTAAAGCACACTTGCAACTTTTATATATTAATTTCATTTGGTTGCAGAACTTCAGGTCCATCTGTTGCTGGGCTGGAAACAACATATACAGGAGGCAATGGATTTTCTACATCATACAATAGTCAGAGATGGCTGAATCTTTATTTGTCGGCTTGTAAATTTCTGGATTTGGCCCTTGCTTTACCTTCTGAGAACCTTCCTCAGTTTCAGATGTAAGTAAAATTCAGAAATGCTGGAAATGTGTTTGATGGGAGAAAATACTACTGAAAGGAATGTTAATTTCATGGAGTCATGAAAAAAGCTATCTTCTGCCTTCAAAGGATGTCCTCTTTTTCTGTAATGTTAGAAAAATAATTCCCAATAGTTAGAAGGCAAATTTCAAATACTTTAATTTGGATTTCTTGACAGAGGAGATTGCAGATAATGGCTCAATTGTCCCCTTCCAATTCCACAATTGTATAAAGCCCCAATAAGCACAGCTAGGGATACTTTTGAAACAAAACCTTTACTAGCGTTTTATAAGAGGTACAAAACGTTGTCTGGAAAAATAGCAGATCTTCCGATCTGATAAAAGTTGTTACGTATTAATTAAGCATTATGGTTTTTCTCTGCATGTTCGTGTCCTGGGTATCAAGATAAGCCTGGATGTAGCACTGGATATGAATAGGAATACAGGAGTAGAGATTCTTTTCGAATCTTGCTTGCTGAATATGCAAAGTAGTTCAAAACTGAATTTGTTTTTTCTCTTAACAGGTACCGGTGGGCCTTTATTCCAGAAGCATCAGACGATTCCGGATTGGAGGTGCGAAGACAAGGCACCCACCAGAGAGAATTCAAACCATACGTTGTGCGGCTAGCAAAGCTGTTACGAAAAAGGGCAAAGGTATTTTGTTTTTTTAAAAAAATCTGCTTCAGGTACTAAACTGTGAGTAAATTCTAATTGCTGTTCAGATTCCACGAAAACCTTAGAAAACTAGAATTTACATCCATGTACACCAACAAGGCAGCTCTTCCTCCTTACAGGCTGAAAGTAAAAGTCCTGAGTTATTGCAGAGAAATGTATAAAAGGTAGGATAATTCAGAGCCAGGTGTGGTTTTTAAGCCTTGTAGTATTAAGACTGTTACACTGCACAACTTCATTCCACCCACCCACCATCATTTAGTGCTTCTTTAAAATAAGAGGAACAAGTTTAATTGAACCATTCAGTGGTCTCAGCTGGAATGATTTGCTTTTTAACAATTAGACGAGTAAATGCCACTGACTTTGATGAGAAAATTTAGTTAAAGATGTTTCATTATCTTCATTTGGGAGTTGGTGAAATCAATATGTGCTGGCTTTGGGGGCTGGTGAAAATATGTAGATGCTGAATTTGGAAAAACGTACGAAACCTGGTCCTGACTCTTTGTCTTGCTGCTTACAGAAAAACCCAGAGGAGGACAGCTCAGGGAGGATTCTGAACTGGGAACCTGGCCACTTGCTCCTGACCCTCTGTGCTGTCCGCAGCATTGAGCAGCTCCTCCCCTTTTTCCATGTCCTGAGCCAAGTCTTCAACAGCAAAGTCACCAGCAGGAGCATTGGCCATTCAGGGAGCCCCATGCTTTACCCAAACTCTTTCCCCAACAAAGACATCAAAATGGAGAACCAAAAGGCATTCTCTAGCAAAGTGAGGCAAAAAATTGAAGAAATGGTTGAGAAGGACTTTTTGGAAGGGGTCATCAAGACATGAAATGTAAATGGCAGAATCATTTAATCCTATGTAATGTTCATTTCAAACGAAACCACTCCATCCTTCCAGAGTATGTAATTTCCTTTTTCATACTTTGTATGTAAATGTATACTTCAGGATGTATTTTAATTTAAATACTTGTAAATAAGTTCTGGATGTGGCCTGAATCAAGTTGAAATATCACTGGCACATATTGATTATGGTGCCTAATATTTATGGTACATTTTGTTTTTGTCATCTTGAGGTCTGTCTTTAAGAAATCTTACAATAAAGTTGCACATTTTTCTAGTTGTATGTTTTCCAATGCACCTAGGCCACTGCTCAGGATTTACTTTCTAAAAATGGAATGAATGAGTAGTTTGATGATAATCAATATTTTGATGAAGGCATTAATCATCAAGATTTTCTTTTAACTAAATTATCTCCACCAACAATGCTGGGTTCCAGGTTCACAAGCAAATAAGTGTGACATGGCAAACATCTTCAAGTAGGCACCCAAAATAATTGAGTGCTTCTATGTAATGTTGTTTCTCTGGGAGATTTTAGGATGCTGTATTTTTTTCATAACTTTCTTTGCTGTAACTTTCTTTCTGGTTGTTGTACATGGTGATAATTGAAGTCTGTTCTTAATATGGTACAACATTTTACTCCAGCAGGTGCTTTTCTAGCTGCCTTAAACTGAAAGTCCTGTCATTCTCAGTCAGTCCACATTTTGCCTAGGGATTATAGGAACCTGCAAATCCAACTCCAAGATTGTCATGATTGCAGTTTTCTGAAAAGCATTTTGAAGTTGAAATTTCCAAGGACAGGAAGCAGAAAAATAGTGTTTTTTTAACAACAGTAAATGTTGATTATGTCTCGGTTAGTAAAGATTTTATATGACAAAATTTCATGATTCAGATCCAAGCATGAGGCTTCATCAAACAGCCTTGGGTGGGTCCCCGAATCCGCCAGCTAAATGGTAGACAGCCAAGCAGACTTCATGGGCAAGTTTATCTGCATTCTCCTAAAGAGAAAAATATGAGACTAAAGTAAATATGAAATAAAGTTAGCTAAGGGAACTTTTAGATGTAATTCAGTTTTTTTTCTGAAAGAATCTGTTTTGCTCACAAGTTCAGAAACCACATATGGCACAGTCTCACTGCTCATCACTATTAAGGAGTTGCCGTCAATTTTAAGGTTGTGCTGCAGTGAAGAAAACCTAAATACTGTATATACTCGAGTATAAGCCTAGTTTTTCAGCCCATTTTTTGTGCTGAAAAAATCCCCCTCGGCTTATACTCGAGTCAGATTCCCCTCTGAAAAAAAAAATGGTGTGGAGTCGCGGCCTCCGGCGGCAGCGACTCCCAACAGCCCCAGCCGGGAAGGGAAAGGCAAAAAGCGCTTTGCCTTTCCCTTCCCGAGGCGGCGGGACTGGGGCCGCGCCGGCGGTAGTGACTCCTGACTCAGGGGGCCTCCGAGGGAGGGGAAGAGAGTGACTCCTGCCTCCCGCTGTCATCATCATCTTCTTCTTTTGGGTTAGTGAATCAATTAAACCTTTCATGATAGTGAGATCGTTTCCCAAATTATTTTTATTTTTGAAATTTACCAGTAGCTGCTGCATTTCCCACCCTCGGCTTATACTCGAGTCAATAAGTTTTCCCAGTTTTTTGTGTAAAATTAGGTGCCTCGGCTTATATTCGGGTCGACTTATACTCGAGTATATACGGTAACTCATAATCCTAGGAGACATCCCACTATGAAGAGCAGATTTTAAGGGAGGATCTTTTAAATCAAAAAATGAAGCTCTGCAGAGAAGCATTAAACACTGTCCCCCATCTGCTGTTTTTATTCCATGTCTATTTTTTTTTACAAAATGTACTTAAATAGGAAGGTATCCTTCATAAAAGTAAATGGAGGGTATGAATAAGGACAGGTTTCTTTTTAGAAATGTCCATATTGCACTCCAGTTCAGTTTTCTGAAATTGTTCAACTTGACAGATTATTATCAAATTTCTCTCCGGGCTCCCATTTTTTCCATCAAAAAAGCTGCTAGAAACATAGCAGATCTTTCTTAGCCCGAAAATATTTCAGAAAACCAAGGAAAGGAAAATAAGATTTTGAGCAAGCAACAACACCATCTTCATTTCTCTTTTCTCCAATAAACTCGAGAAGAAATGGGAAGGAGGACGGTTAAATTTCAAGACGACTACGTACTGTTGCACACCTATCAATCATATCAATTCACCTAGTTTGAAAATGTTACTGACAGAAAAGGGACTTCTCTGCACGCTCCAGAAATTCTTCCCAATTTATTGCACTCAAAATCAGGAGTGTCCAATCTTGACAACTTTAAGATTCGTGGATTCAACTCCCAGAATTCTGGGAGTTCCCCAGCATGGCTGGATGGAGACTTCTGGGAGCTGAAGTCCACAAGTCTTAAAAATGCCAACATTGGACACCCCAGCTATAAATGAATCACATCCATTCCAACCTGGGAGTCAGCTTCGGCATAGACTCTGACTATGTCTTCTGTGCCAGATGGACGAACAAATGCCCGAGCCAATTTAAATTTCTGAGTCAGGTGGTCAATTTTTTCTTGCAGCCCTGGAGGCGCAAGTGCTCGTCTTTCAGCATCTGTCGTGCTGATGACCCGCCTATCAGCAACCTGCAAGTCAAAGTAAAAAGAAGCAACATACAGTCTGTAGTCTGACCTGCTAAAATTGCAACTGGTTGCACCAATTCTCCAATGAGGAAAAATTAGGAAAGAATTAAAATTCAAATCTGAGGATTGCTACATCTTTTTAATGAGAGGTTCTATAATGCTAATTCCAAAGGTGTAAAAGAAATTTTATTAAGATTAGTTTGCAAGACTTTTTATTTAAAGCACTTTATTCAAGTGCTTCCAGGTGATAATCCCACAGTAGACTCTGATGTATCTTTTTGTCCATCACACCATCTACTAGATTGCTGAGATGAGTAAACTATTCAGAGGACTTATTAGTTCAACTTCTCATCTCTTACAGGAAATGTATCATGGCCTTTACTTCCCTTCCTCCCTGCAGCCACAAATGATATCACTGATTTTTTTTTCCTCTGGTATTCTTCATCTCTTCTGGATCACTTCTACACAGAAAAAAAAAGTTTAATATTTTTTTAACAGCCCATTTAATTTTAACAATCTATTTAATTCTGGTTCCCAACTAACCTTCACTTTGAGCTGTCGGTTTGGGAGATCTGTGTACAGAGCATCCCATTGTGCAATTGTGAGGTTCTTCAACACCAAGATGGCTTCAATCACAAGCATGTCGGCGAGACCATCGCCAACCGTCTAGTGCATAAGAAAAGAAAAAAGGGAAAGAAAAACAAATGGGAAAAATCAGTCTCTTCCACACTTGGATAACTGAAAATCTCTCATACAGGTACTTCGTAAAACATTACTGATTCTAACCCTGGTCCTACTGTCAGATCTCAGTTTTGCTAGCTAATTAAAGAGGTAAAGGGTCCCCTCACACATACGTGCTAGTCGTTTCTGGCTCTAGGTTCATCTCCGTTACAAAGCCGAAGAGCTAGTGCTGTCCAAAGATGTCTCCATGGTCATGTGGCCGGCATGACTAAAAGCCAAAGGTGTACGGAGCGCTGTTACCTTCCCAGAAAAGTGGTCCCTATTTTTCTACTTGCATTTTTACATGCTTTCGAACTTCTAGGTTGGCAGAAGCTGGGACAAGTAACAGGAGCTCACTCTGTTATGTGATGCTCCGTTATGCCTTTACCTTTTTACCTATGGGACCCTTACCCTGTTTAAAAAGTAGATTCTCTCCACAGTGGCTTCTTTGAGCCATTTCCCTTACCCTTACAAAGTTCTGCAGTACAATAAAAGCCTTGCAGAATCTCCCAATAATCTTCAACTGCATAGGGAACACTAAGAATTTTAAAAATTAAGTCTGCACTTATATAAGACATCCCAACTAAGGATAGACATACAAGGGTATAAGAACAAGGGCAGATTTTATACTTCTTTAAAATTACACATCTAAATGGCAACTTCCTATTTGCCGACTGGAGATGGTATACTTTTGAGAATGTTACCTGATTTAGAATAAAAAGTATATACTCCATGACTCAGATAAAGCCTAGATTGTTGATTTTCTTCAAAATACATCCACTGTGTTCTTTTCAAGACAAAATACTTGGAACAGCTTTGAACTGGTAGTAGTGCCAAGCTAGCTTTGCTGATTTAGAAAGCTAAGCAGGACCTTTCCTTGGTGCATATCTGAGAAGACAAGGGTTATAGACTAATTTGGAAAACAAACTCATATCTGGGAAGAGGACAGTAGGGAATCACTTCTCTATTTTTACCAAGGAAACTCTATGAATAGATATTGGGGTGCAATTAGAAGCCAAATTTGACTTCAAGACAACTATAGACAAGCTTCTGTAGTTAGTAATGGACCAACATTCCTACCTGATTTATCAGATCAATTGTGTTTTCAAGCATCTTTGCAGCTTCTCGTTTTTGGAGATCTTTTTCTTCTTTTGCCTGGTATCTTATCTTATCCTCTGCAGCTTTACTAAACAATACCTTGGGGGGGAAAAACACAGAGGATTATCAACAGAGGAAGAAATGGAAAAGAAGCACAATCAACATTCTCCCTTTTGTGCTCAAAAAGAGACGTTTCATCGGTTTAAATTTAAACTCTGATGAATGGCTCTAGACTCCTTTGGGTGAATGAATAGATATACTTACTGTGCCATGGCCATTTGCTTCAAAATAAATTCCAATATCAAATTCCTGGGCCTTGTGATGCAAATGTTTCACTCCTGTTTTGGCACAGTGAACAGGCACCTAAGAAAGAAAGACCCAGTGTGGTGAGTATATAATTCTGCATTACCAGCAACATAATCTTTGAAGTGTTGGAACACAGAAAAACAGCATTCCCTTGAGGGAAGAAGGCCCAGAAGAGCAATGCCTGACCGATGGTAAGAAGCGCATTACACCAGTGACCACTGATCATCAACAAGGGAACCCTGGGAAGATTCTCATACAGCATCATTCATT